ATTTCCATTAGTAGAAAACAAAATGGGCAAAGGGAAGTAACTTGCATTTTGTTGCAACTAAAATTGCCGAATTTTTGTTGTAAACTTTGTCAAAATATTGTAACTGATTGCTTGTTGGTCTTCCTGCAAAAAGCTTATACCCTCTCATTCAGAATAAATCTGCCCGTATCATTTCACTAACACCTTATCGTTTCTTCTCAATTGGACAAAAATTGTCGACTCTAGAGGGTCTACAATCTTGGTATATGTATTACATGCTTTGCGATTATTCGCATAAAGGGGATTTTAATTTTCACGAAATTCAAACTCATCTGCGATTGTTATGTAATGAACACTTATCTGAAAGGTTTTTAAAATCTTATTAAAATTGTTTCCTCCAGAGTGTCCACAAGCTAAAACCTCTATCTTTTTACAATGAGGGTCGACAAACTAAAAATGTTATTTTTCTTACAATAACAGACAATAGTCCATGAGGTTTGGGACACACAAATGGACAAAGACAACATGAATTGTGGGCATATAAAAATAGATAATTTAAAGGAATATATTGAAAAACTCTGTCAAATCAGTTTATTCTGAGCGAAATAATGAGTGTCATAAGTTTGACAAGATAGTCTTGATTGTAAAGTACCATTACTACGATAATAAACGAAGTCTTGTTTATCCATTTTATTTTTAAATTATTAAATGGCAAACATGTTCTAATCCATTTAATATATATGTCATCCGATGCCCTCGAGAGTTGATTATGGTTCTGTCATGTGACTAAATGTCTAAATTATGTAACATTTTGAGCTAGAAAAAAAGGCCTGCAATTGTAATAATATTGCTAGAATTTTTGCTCTTGAAATTAATGATGGCAGTATATTTCATTAACTAGAGACAAATTCTAGACGATCACAAGGCTACAGAAATATGTAGTAAGAAAAGATGCATGGGTTCTACGTAGGATGTGGCGACCGGTTCCCCTTACCCGCACTCCACGTCAGACAAAAGACCTATGGTGCTACACAATGGGCATCTTTAAATATAGCTCTAGTATAATGCATCTTTAATGGAATCTCTCATTTTCCTTTAATCAGGACACCAGCCTAACAATGTTAAGGAAATATTTCCTTTTTCATTGATTGTAATTTTATGGAAATCTTTCCTTTTTCATTGATTGTAATTTTAGGGAAATCTTTCGTTTTTCATGGATTGTAATTTTAGGGAAATCTTTCCTTTTTCATTGATTGTAATTTTATGGAAATCTTTCCTTTTTCATAGATTGTAATTTTATGGAAATCTTTTTTTCATGGATTGTAATTTTATGGAAATCTTTCCTTTTTATAGATTGTAATTTTATGGAAATCTTTCATTTTTCATGGATTGTAATTTGAGGGAAATATTTCATTTTTCATGGATTGTAATTTTATGGAAATCTTTCATTTTTCATGGATTGTAATTTTATGGAAATCTTTCATTTTACATGGATTGTCTCCCTTGTAATTTTGTTTTCACTTTGAGTAAAGACTGTGTTACAGAGAACACATGACTGTACAGCACAGTAGACGATTTTGGCTTCCCCCAGTGGAATCCATGGACTCAATTTCATAATACTTTTATGGTTAGTGCGTCTTGTCCGCAGATTTTGTTTTCTGGTTTTCTGATTGTTTGTATATTGTGAATCTCCTGCATTTACTATTTGTGGAATCGACAGAACATGAATTCTCCGCATCGGAGATCATGCACAAGTTTAAAAAACTTAAGAGTAGCCCTTTCCATACATATTGTTATAAACATTACAATTTTAGACAAGATAACATTTAATTTAAATGTTTGTATTAGCTTATAAATAATATATATAAATAAATCGTAATAACTTTGAATATAACAGTGTGAAAAGAATCAACAATTTGCAAACATTATATTCATTATGATTCATATTGAAGTTGAGTATGATTGGACAATAGATATAAAGTTATATAGTTGGGCTTATGAGTAAGGCTGGGAATCGATATGAAATTTCAATATCGATTATCGGCAAGAATTTGTCAGCGATTATCGATAATAATCGATTATCATTCTTCCGGAAAAACCGAACTTTACCGACCTGTTATTTGTGTTGATCGAGTTACAGTAGTGTTATTATCCTAGTCTAATACTGTGCCGATGTACGTAAAAAAATCAATTAATGTAAAATAATTAGTTGCTAAATGTAGGATTAACTTGAGTATTATTCTAAGTTTTGTTCTTGATTCATTTGAACCTTTTTTTTATTCCAATATCTCCGATAAATACAAAGACAATACATGGTTTCTCTTTGCAAGTTATAGAATAAAAAAAAAGAAGGCGTCTATTGATTGGACAATAAAAAAATAATTACCGGCTTTCAAAGTAGAATTTTTATGATTGGTTAATTTTGACGAAAACCAAAGTAGAATTCTTCCAAGAAATTACGAGAGATATAGATATTTTCCCGGGAAGTCAAAAACGTGTTTTGTATGGGCTGTATCTGACATGATTTAGTAATAAAAGCTGAGTTGATCATTAATAATACAATTAGTTTTATCGTGAAAGCAGACAATTTCTCTACAAATCAATCAAGAGCAAAGAAGGGAGATAATTCTAATTTTACTATATCACGTGCGATCGTCATTGTTCACAAAGTGCGTGACCTATTTTAGTTTCAACTAGTAATAACAACAAAAACAACGAAAATATTAAAATAATGTATTTAATCTTAAAGTTTAGTTTTTTTACAATCATATATATTTAAAATGTGCTAGTTTGTAAGCAGAGGGGGAAAATAGTTGTTGTGTTGACGTTGTGTATTCGTTCATTTGTCTGCATGCCAGAGTACTACTGCAAGTTCAGTCATGTGAAAGTGACCGTAACTTGCCGTCAGAAGGTAAATATACCGATAATCAATATTTGAATTTCAATATCGATTATCGCATCGCTAAATAACTTCTACCGATCATCGATTATATCGATATTTTTGCACAGCCTTACTTATGAGTGAAATATTTATAAAAAGAGTAAGGAAATATAATAATTTTCATTTAAACCTTTAATAAACTTTTAATGTATAAATGAAATGAAATGAAATGAGGTTTAACGTCCTAATGTTCTGCTCCGACTGGGCTAATGAAGATGGACATACGCCATACAGTGTGCGATGAGGGAAATTTTGCCCTGACAATGGCATTACAGACTACTCTTATATCGAATTCCAACTGCCAAAGAATCTTTTACAAGTATTCCAATGTGTACACAGGACGTTGGTTTTCTCTACCATCCAAACAACTAAACAGCTGTCCTTGTCAGGCCCTCCGTCTTGCACCACTGAGAAGGGGAAACCACGTCGGAAAATCTTGATGAACTTTCTCGACCAACACCGGGAGCGAACCTGCAACCTTCATGCTAGCCAGCCAGTGTCTTACCCACTTAGCCACTGTGGCTCCCACTGGGCTAATGAAGATGGGCAAATGACATACAGTGTGCTACTCTTATTATGAAGTCCAACTGTCAAGGATTCTTGTACGTGCGTGCCAATGTGTACACTAGACCAGTGATGGGATTTTGCCCGTATATTCCAGACATGTCCGACGCTATTTTCCAAACGTCCTAAATTGTCCGACCAGGAATATGCCCAATCGGACATCAAGACATGGTAAATAATATTCAAAATTCCAAAATTAATATAGTGTACTGAGTGCATAACTACCACTCAACCAGATTATCGTTGATAATAGGCTGGATTGATTAGGTAATTAAGTGATCAACGTATTTATCGTTTTATGCCATCTATACACCTACCTTGATTTACTACTTAATCTACCTTGATTGGCTGACTTAATTCTTTGTCGGACAATTCATCAATTCAATCCTGAACAGAAGTCATTGCTTCTCCTTTGTCGAACTATATATCAATCCAATAAACTTAATCTATGTGATTAACCCGTGATTTCTCTATTGTCTCACGTTTTAATCTCCTTGATGTCGGCCGTAGACATTAGTAGTTATATTTCATATATCCTAATAGTATATAACACCCTAAATCAATATACATTGTGTCCGATAACTTGTCTGTGATATTTCTTCAGTGGAAGCCGAAGTTAAATAAAGCTATTTCACACACACGCAAAATGAAAGTAGAAATCTCGCAAGACACGTGGAATTAAGAGGTGTAAATGTGCCGAATGTAATACGTCTGATGTCAGCAGAAAAGATTCTATTTTGATGACATATTGTCGGATTTATGACATAAATTTGAATACCGTACGGGAATTAAACAAGAAAAATAACAAGGTGCACCTATTTTTTTATTACATACGAATTTGAATATTTTGTTGACATGTGAATCTTAATTGTGGTTTGAAAAAGCCTGCTTAAATAACGATAAGAGTTATGTCCCTTTATCTTCGGGAAGAAAATGTCCGACAACTAAAATTTTGAAATCCCATCACTGCACTAGACCTTGATGAATATACATTGTCCCTTGCCGTGTCCTACTCACTGAGTGACTGTGGCACCCACTTCCTGAATAATACATTGACCAACACAGTGTGAAGTCAGCTTTATTATATTACTATTGGATAACCATGTACTGCCTGGGTTGTGCCCTTTAACTCTTAAACCAGAAGCGAAAGGCCAGCGCCACCTAGCCTATGTTACTCCACGGTCCGAGCTACCCCTATACACCAAATTTCAGCCTCGAGACAGCCCTAGTGTAGCCTCCAACCACAGGGGTCTTTAGCAGTAGGAGGAAACCGGAGGACCCGGAGAAACACTACAAGGCTGGACAGGCGACCCTACTCCCTGTCACATACAACCAGGAAATCGGAACCACGCCAGTTGACTTAATGACAGACCTTATGATAAAATGAGCATGCGCTAACCATTTAGCCATTCCCCCCCCCCCCCCCACAAACAAACATTAGTGTGGATTTCATCCCTTGTGTACAGCAATATTACAAATTATCAGAGATCTGACAAGAATATTAAACTTAGCTTACCTTAGGATCTTGTGATATACCTAAAACTTCAATATGAGATGATATCACATTACCTGTCAATTAGAAATATTCAAAATTAATCTAGTCCTTCGGATGGGACAAAAAACAAAGGCCTTATGTATATATATATTGGGTTCTAATTGTTATCTATATATTGCACCACATTTGTGTTAAATATGATTATTTGCTTGACAACGATATCTGTATGTGTATCGAAACGTAGCATGTTAATAAATTCAGAAGTAGTATATCCATATAAGTGTCTTTAAGACGCTCCTAACCTTTAATGATTCGGAAAAAAAGGGCTTACGCAAAACGTTATGACCTAAAACAAAGGGGTTTATCATATTTAACTCACCTGTAATGGCAGGTTTTTGGTCTGAAATCTTTTTTACCGATATTTCTTCATCTTCAGGTATATCTTCAAACACAGAATCATTATAAACAGACACCTTTGTTTCTTCTTTTACTGTAGGATTAGGCGCCAAGAAAAACACTTTCTCCGGGGATGGGGATGGCCATGACAGAATTCCCTTTTTATCAACACAACAAAATGACTGAAAAAACAAAATGATATATTTTAAGAAAAATATTCCAAAAATATACCGTTCTATTGATTCGTTTAAGGGGTGATGCTACCACAAGAAAATCTGTTTAAATTTTAAAGCTATTGAATTGAAAATGGTACAACTAATGTAGTAAGGAAATACAATAAATGAGGGAATTTAAATGAAATGGGATTTAACACTGTAACCTGGATATAATTTAATCTTGTGTATTTAGCACTAATTTCTTTCATATTCATTCAATACCAAAATTCATCTTGTGTCCAGTTTAAAGCTGACCAATTAATTTTGATAATGAATGTCCAGTTTACAAGCGTTTAATTTCCTAATTATACATGAATGATTAATTTCCTAACTATACATGAAGGATTAATTTGGTGGTTTATTTTTTAACAGTGATCAAGAAATTAAACACAGAAAATTTACAAGAATGAGTATTAGACACAGAGAGAATTGGTGTTTCATGTCCACTTGACACAAACTAGGTCATTTCGTGACTAACATATGGTTCAAACTTATTTCAATAATTCGCTTGTGCATAGGAGTCTTTAGCAGTGGGAGGAACCTGGAGGACCTGGAGAAAACCCACGAGGTTGGACAGGCGACCCTACTCCTTGCTGTGTACAACCGGGGAATCGAAACCCCGCCAGTTGACTCAATGATACACGCACTAATCATTCGGCCATTCACCCCTCCTCCTTGTCACATACAAGCAGGGGAATCAAAACCACAAAAATTGACTCAACGTCAGACCTTATGACCTGAAGCGTGTGATTGAGTATTAAAGTACTTCCTGTAACACTGCCGAGTGACAAGTGACCTTATGACCTGAAGCGTGTGATTGAGTATTATAGTACTTACTGTAACACTGCCGAGTGTAAATAGTATATTGGTTCTACTGGTAACAACAGGTGCTTTATTAAATATAATAGATAAAAACCAACTAAATACATCTGCCCACGGTAAATCTACTCGGGCTTCTTCTATTGATATAGTACTAGTACTGTCAAAACTATCACTTAATTTTTGCTGGAAATACAAAATGTAAATAGTTTATTTCTTCTGGAGAGAGAAAGAGAGAGACAGAGAGAGACAGAGAGAGCGAGCGGGTTTAACGTCCACTCCACACAAACTAGGTCATTTCGGGACTAACATGGTTCAACTTTATTTCAATATTTCGTCTGATCACTGGAAGTTTATAAATTAACCAGTTCGACGCGGATGACGAGATATCTCGCAGAAAATTACGTTGCCGACACGCGGATGACGAGATAACTCACGAAATTAACATATGAAAACACGCCCCTGAAAGCATTTCATTCGGATTGGCCAGAATAACTTGATTGACTTTAGCGTGTTCCCACTTTGTCTATTGTTGTTATTACGGGGTTACGGAGTGCATAGATGGCGATAATTGTCGTTTATTGTGGGTTATTTTTAGCAGTCAGCTGACCGCTCGGAATAAACAATGGCGGCGCCCAGAAGAAAACGAGCCTTTATGGAAAACAAAATACAATACATGTTTACAACGTCAGGTTCCTCTTCTTCTGATTCCGACGACAGTATTGATGACATTGATGACAATGTGGATGATAATTCGAGTGGAAGTGAGTTTAAATTGGGTGAAATTGGCGACAGTTCAAGTACCGATAGTGATTTTGACATTCACAACACTGACGTGCCTGACAATAACAATTCGTTGAATTTGAATGCTGTGAATGGAATGCCTAAAGCAAACCAGAATCAAAATTATGTCAATTATGCTTTCTACAATTAGTGGTGCTTTTTATTTGAATACAATACCATAAATAGCCAAATTTTGACAATTAATGTAAAAGGGCCAATTTTTCCAAAAATAATCCCGCGTGGGGGGTCTGGGCATGACAAAAAAATCCCACGTCGAACTGGTTAAAAACAAGTGGTTGCCATGCAAGATGGACGGGGAATGGGGAGAAATGGTAAATAGAACATTTATTTAACGTCCTACTCTTCACCTGCACTTATATCTTATAAGCCTACGGCAATGTGTAGGCCTACATGGGACCTTTGTTTTTCATCCCATTCGAATGACAATACATTGTTTTGCACCACAAACAAGGGGAACCATGTAGGAAAATTACAATGAACTTTCTCAGTCAAAACCTGGTTCAACACAGGACCTCCATGTTATTGAGCCAACGTCTTACTCACTGATGTACTGTGGCTCCTTATAAAATCTGATAAATTCTAGTCACAGCAAGTTTATAGGTCATTTTGGGACTAATATATGATTCAACTTCATTTTGATTGTTTGCACGTAGGGAGGAAATCAGAGGAACAGGAGAAAATCCACGTCAATGCCATACACAGTTGATAGAGAGAGAAATGGGGTTTGATGTCCACTCAACACAAACTAGGTAATCTTGAGACTTACATATGACAGGCTTCGAAATTAGCTAACGCAAAGAGTCTGCTAAAATATGAAAATAGCATGTTCGATTTGAACTATAACGGATGAGTCCATTTTAATAGTCCCCGGGGGGAAAATTAATAGTATTAGCTGTAAGGTAAAAATATTGAATAATCTGAAAACTTAACGGTTTTAAGTAGATTAAAATACCTTTATATTTTTAGCAACTTGAAAAGCTCCGTGAATTCTAGCTTGTCCATAGGCATTCAAGAGACACCACATGACCGGAAATACAACAGGTAATAATGGTAAACAAGCATGAACCTAGAATTGGAATGAGAAAAAATGTTAATTCTTCAAATTGCCATTCAACAGGTAATAGAGAGAGAGAGAGAGAGAGAGTTTAACGTCCAATCGAACTTGACACAAACCAGGTAAATTTCTGGACTAACATATGGTTTAATTTTATTTCAATAATACTTTAGCAATGGGAGGAAACTGGAGGACCCGGGGAAAACCCACTTGACTCAATAACAGATCTTAGCACATGTTAAATCATTCGGCGACCCAACCCCCATAAGAAGAGATGAGAAGTGAATACAAGCATTGATTAGACCCTGTGTATATTATAAACATGTAATAATATAGATTTACTTACTAATAAAACTAAAACAGTTTCTGACCAATGACCCATATGAACTCCTAAAAACTGCCAACGTAATATGTTACACGTTAACATTATAACCTACAATAAAACAACAGGTGTGAATGAAACAACATTTACAATAGGTGTGAATAAAACATCATTTAAAACAGGTATGTTGTTACCACAGGTGTGAATAAAATCGTGTTTTTGACCTTCTACTTTTCTGTGAAGCCGCAGTGGCTCCCTGGAACAGGTAAAATTTAGTGACAATATGCTTGCCATTTATTACTTTTTGCAAGCTCAGGAGTTAAAATTTGCTAATTTTTGCAAGAATCCATATAGAATTCCGCCATTATCAACTAAATACAGAGAAAGAGAGATGGGGTTTAACAATCACTTCACTCCACACAATCTTGGTCATTTCGGGACTAACACATGGTTCAATTTATTTCAAAAATTTCCTTGCATGTAGGGGTCTTTAGCAGTGGGAGGGAACCGGAAGATCCGGTGAAAACCCACCAGGTTGGACAGACGACCCTACTCCTTGTTGTTTTATTGACATACTAACAAATGGCAGTGAAAGATTTAGATGCTTAGGTCCGCAATTTTGGGATACATACTCGCAAGAAGAGTATCTGCGTTTTGGGATACATACTCGCAAAGTTTTTGAGTCAAATCTTTTTTTATCATGATCTGTATAAAGTAAAATAGTTACCATAGTAACAGGTATTATAGATCTCTGTTTTTATCATGATATACAAGTTACCATAGTAACCGTAAACAAAGGTGTGTTTTTTCGTGACCTAAGTGGTAAATAACTTACTGCCAAGGGATCTTTTACATGCACGTCTAGACAGCTGTCCTTGTCAGGCCCTCCGTCCTGCACTACTGACATGGGGGAGATGACGTCAGAAAATCCCGATGAACATTCTGGACCAATGGAGGGATCAAACATGCGACCTCCAAGCAAGCGAACTTGCGTCTTACCCACTTAGCGAGTGATAAATAACTTACCATAGTTATAGGTATTATAATCCTCTGTAACCATATACTAGATATAAGATGTCGTTCATTTTCTATCATACTATCAGGATGCTTCGATTTATCTTCTAATGTTAACCTTTATCAAAATAAACAAATCAAATTAAATGGGGGTTTAACGTCCTACTGTTCTGCACTGACCGGGCTAATGAAGACATACAGTGTGCCATGAGGGAAATTTTGCCCAGACAGCGGCACTACAGACTACTCTATTTTTTAATTCCAAAGGTCAAGGGTACTTGTGGGTGCATGACAATGTGTACACAGGACTTTCTCAGACAACCAAAATAAACTATTTCTTATACCAGTAAACATAAAAGCAAGCCTTGAAATAAGGCACCTGTCACTGACCATGTCAGACATAAAATCTCTGGTGCCAGTCATTTTGTTCGGTATTGATTTGTCTTTTTTATTGATATTATTAATACATGTTGGACAAAAAGATTAAAGTTACTTTCTTGGTCAACACTGAGAGCAACCCAGGAACCCCTGATTAGGGGCCACGAAGAGAGGTAGACATTATGGTATAATATTTACCTAAGATTTTCTATATAAGGTGTATCTAACATTAGAAATCTGGTTGTTTCTACAGGTTTTCTACCAATTGGACTGGTAACATATTCTGGTATATCACCATCTAGAGGATTATATACATCCCCTCCATATAATATCATATCTTCACCATCGGCTGTCGGCTGTAATAATAATAAATCTATACAGTCTACATATCTATCATAAACAGAATTAATACAATTGGGTCATTTTGAGACTAACAAAATAACTATTATATCTGAATCACTCACTTGTGTATATGGTTTTTTTGAGACTAACATAATAACAATTTTATTTGAATCATTTGCTTGTGGGTATGGGTTTTTATATAGGAAGGATCCAGAAGGAAGGCAACCCTATTTCTTACCATTGCTTGTCATGTACAAGTGTTGGGATCGAAACCTAAACCAGACCTTATAATCTAAACAGCTTGTGTTAGACTGCTTAAACATCCAGACCAACAACTATACGTTGTCCATTGCCAGACCCTCGTACTACACCATTGACATGGGGGAACCACAACACTGTGTGAGAGAGAGAGAAATGGGATTTAACATCCACTTGACACAAACCAGGTCATTTTAGGACAAACAATTTTATTTCAATAATTCGCTTGCGTGTAGGGGTCTTTAGCAGTGGGAGGAAAACAGAGGAACAAGAGAAAACCCACGAGGTTGGACAGGCGAACCTACTCCTTGTCACATACAACTGGGGATTCGAAATCACCCTAGTTGACTCAATGACAGACTTTATGATACAACGTGCACACGCTACCCATTCGGCCATCCAACACCTTGACGGTGCAGTTTAATGATACTTACATCTATCTGTTTACATTTACCAGGACTATTCTGACCACATCTCATTAGAATAATATCTCCTTTTACTAATAATACCGAGGGTAGATTAACAATTTGACCATCTCTGATAGTCCACTGTAGAGATATACACGGTGATATAGGAGAATGAAGATTAGGATAACTTGAATTATGCCAGTGATGTTGGTCAACATATTCTAAAATTAAAATGAAAGTTTAAAATAGTGAATGCTCTTTTCCGTTATCATACTGTAAAATCAAAAATCAATTCATGCTGAAATGAAAATGAAATGGGGTTTAACGTCCTACTTTTATGCACCTACTGGGCTAATGAAGCCGGGCAGAAGTCATCCATTTTGTTATGTGGGACATTTTGCTCGGACAGTAGTATTACGACCTACTCTTTGATCGAATTCCAACTGTCGAGTGTTCTTTTACATGCACACCAATCCGTAAACAGGATCTCAGTTTTTCGTCCTATCCCAACAACTAGACAGGTTGTCCATACTGCACCACTGACGAGGAGAAGCCCTGCCGGAAAATCCAGAGGAAGTTTCCCGGCCAACACCAGGAGTGAACCCAAGATCTCCATGCTAGCAAGCCAGCGTCTTAATCTCTGATAATAAACAATTTTTACCTTTTATTCTATCTAAAGCTAGTTGATGTAGTCGGATATATTCAAATCTATTCTTATTATTATCTGATATAATAAACATAATGTTGACAACCACCGATAAGAACAATACAACAGCTTCAACTAACCACCAGTTCACATCTAACAATGATGAACTGAAATACAGAAAACATTTTCAACTATTAAACATGCATTACGTAAGATTTAGATAATTAACTGTGTATGACAAAGTGCTCCACAACTTCAACTCGTATCATATTAAGATGATATTGTATACATGTAAAGTATTTATTTAAATGCATAGAACCAGGAAATTAAATACTTGTAAATTGGACATTCATTATCAAAATTAATCAGTCAGAGCTTTAAACTGGACACAAGAACAAATTAGATGATTTGGGGTGATTTTAAATGATTTTTACAAATTTTCAAACAAAGATTTGTTATTAAACGATTGTGAAAGAAATTAGTGACAGATACACGAGATTAAATGACGGAACTCAGAACACAATTTTACATGATAATATAAATGTGATCTACCTACTTACTATGCCATAAACAATATGTAGATTGTTTTGCATTAGGGAGAAAGGGGGAAAACCACGCCAGAAGATCCAAATGAACTTTTTCAGCCAATTAACGTCCACTCGACACAAACTAAGTATTCTTTGTAATGAGAGAGAGAAATGGGGTTTAACGTCCACTCGACACAAACTAGGTCATTTCAGGACTAACACATGGTTAATTTTATTTCAATAATTAGGTTGCGCGTAGGGATCTTTAGCAGTGGGAGGAAACAGGAGGACCCGGAGAAAACCCACGAGGTTGAACAGTTTTGCATTAGGCTGAAGGAACACTATGCTGACATTACCCAGAAGAGAGACACTCTGGTTGCCTCTCAATACCACCTACCGAGCCACTCCAGTCGAAATTTCGACTATCAAATTATCAAATAACTCAATACTAACACTGTAACCTTTATAAATCTACCAAGAGAAGCACCATAGAACTCCATTGGATTATACGATTAATTATACAATATCAATGACAAAATCTGAACTTGGGCATCCCCCATTTATTTTCTTTGTCCTGATAATATACAGTTTGTGCTATTTACCTGTCATTGTCATAAGCATATGCAATACCAAGTAGACAAATAGATATAGAGATCGCCAATAACGATGTCCAGTGATATGTAGATGTCACATTTCTATGATCTAGACCAGATAAATATTTCAACTTATTTCTACTCTCCAGTTTTTGATGTAAAGTCACTTCTGCTTGTAATTCTTGATATAACGTAGATAGGGCTTCTTTTGTTGTGTAACCATCCATTTTTTGCGCTGGTTCTCCATTTTCTATCTGTAAATAAATAATAGTTGTAAGGGTTTTTGGATATTTTATTACTCAGTTTTGGAGTAAATAGAAATCGCTGATTTCTAACAGGTATCACGACCTTTCGGTCCTGTAACTTTTCCTACTCCAAACAAACAACTTTACTAATTTCACTTCTGTGTTAAAGCAAAGGGCGCATGGCTCTATTCTCTGAAATGGACCAATGTTGAATTCTAATTCCTGTTTTTAATTTCGAATATCATCAAAACTATTGATTTAGAGGTTTAGCTCCTTTAAACTTTTCCTTTCAACAGATTCTTGAGTACCAGAATATGAAATATAGAGGACATATTTTTGCTACGGTCGTAAATCTGAAATGTTGCGGGACCACAACATCATGTTATCTTTATAAAGTAGATGGCTCAGACATTAAAGAACTTTTAGAATAATTCTCAACTAAACTTAAGATTAGGAATTTCATTGATTATATAACAAGTTATGTCATGATGAAGACTGTATAGAGTGAAATAAACTTTCAGTTGTATATTGTTATTATTTGTGTTATGACATGGGAGCTGCAGTGGCCCAGTGATTAAAGCGCTGACTCGATGAAATGAAATGGGGTTTAACGTCCTACTTTTCTGCTCCGATTGGGCTAATGAAGCCGGACATACACTATGAAGACGGACATACACCATACAGTGTACTATGAGGGAAATATTGCCCAGGCAGCAGCACTATGGTCTACTCTTACATCAAATTCCAACTGCCAAGGGATCTTTTATGTGCATGGCTGCTCGCCAATGTATACACAGGACCTTGGTTTTTCGCACCATTCAAACGTCTAGACAGCTGTCCTTGTCACGCCCTCTATTCTGCACCACTGACAAGGCGAAATCACGTCACATTTTCCTGATGAACTTTCTCGGTCAATGCAGGGATCGAAGACGCGACCTCCAAGGTAACAAGCCAGCGTCTTACCCACTTAGCACTGGCTCGATAACCAGGAGGAAATGAACCCTTGTCCAGGTAAAATTTCTGTCATATACCTATGTCTATTATTACTATTAGCACATGTCAATTGTCATGTGTCACAATGTGCGTTTTCAATAGCCCAGTCCGTACAGTATCTATACCTGTATGTATACAGCGTAGGGCCAATTAAAGTAGAACGTTAAACCCCATTTCAGTTCATTTCGTGTTATGACTTTTTGAGTTCGTCTGTTGTTGACACCGACGGTTGCGGTTGACAATAATAATACATTACAAATAAATTTGTTGTTTGTTTTGTCAATAAAACAGCCTGTTATAAACTAGGCCTACTGCATCAATTCTAACTTTGTGCTCTGGTCGTTTATAAAACTGAAAACATAAAAAAGCAATAAAATATGACCGTATTACTCAATAAATTCATTATTTTGAACGTTTTTCTCTCACCTTCTCCATTTTCATCGTGTATTATTTATTTACTTCCGGCGAAGACACCCATTGGTCAAATGTGGACGGGTCTACTTCTCAACCAATCAATGCCGCTCATGGTAAAACAATAAACTGAAAGTAGTACTGTAAGGGAGCTAACTCAATTTAAAGCAGCAAAAATATTTTTTACTTTTACTGAGAGAGAGGAGAGAGAGAGGGGGATAGAGAGAGAGAGAAGAGAGAGAGAAGAGACAAAGAGAGAGAAGAGAGAGAGAGAGAGGTTTAACTTCCATTCAACACAAACTAGGTCATTCCAGAACTAACATATGGTTCAATTTGATTTATATAATTCTCTTGCGCGTAGGGGTCTTTAGCAGTGGGAGAAAACCAGAGGACCAGGAGAAAATCCACAAGGATGGACAGGTGACACTACTCCTTGTAACATACAACCCGGGAATCGAAACTATGCCAGTTGACTCAATGCCAGAGCTCTTTAGCAGTGGGTGGGAAACCAGAGGTCCATGAGAAAAGCAACAAGGTTTGGCGACCATACTCCTTGTCACATACAAGCAGTGAATCAAAATGACGCCACTTAAAGATACATTATGGGAGATTCAATAACGAGTTGGCAATTCTCACTATAATAGTTAAAATCTAGATAACGTAAAGGCAATTTGCTGAAAATTTCATTCAAATTGATCCACTATGAACCGAGAACTACGTGAATGAAATTTCTGCATAGCCTCGGTCATCATTACTAAAATCAGTACGATAAACAGCTTAGTCTCGATTATCCACTTAATCGTTAAATCGAGAAGGAAAGTTATGCAGTAAATCGGCTCACAATCCACTTAAGATCACAGGCTAAGCTTGACTTCGAGAGATGATTATGGTCTGGATAGGTTATTTAATGTCTAATTAATACTTCAGATAACATTTCAGGCCTAAAGAAAGACCTGCAATAGATAGATTTAGCTCTTGCATAATGTATCTTTAATTATCAAAAGAGCACACATTCGGCTACCCCTATTAAATATGGAATGATTATTAAAGATGCATTATGTAAGCGATAAATCATCCGATTGCTAGTCTTTATTCTGTCTTCAAATATTATATAAACTGTTATTTTGACATTTATTCACATGAAAGCCTATAATCAACTCTCTAGAACATCGGAACGCAGAGATTTAACCAGATTGAAACACGATTACCATTTAATGATTAAATTTAAAAATGGTGAATCAAGGGTTAGTCTCGATTAACAAGTAACATTGCTACGATAATAAGCAATCTATGCTGAATGTTCAAACAGTCTTAACTTCGCTCAGAATAAAGTAATTTGAATTAAATTTTCAACATATTCCTTTTGCATTATCTAGTTGTGAACTATTATAGCAGGAACAGCCAGCTCATTATCTAATTCTTACATAATGCATCTTTAATTTACCTGTAAAAAATCAAAATAAAAATTTACCTGTACAAAGAACAAATAAACGAGTAAAAACAGAAATTCAACTTTTAATAATCTTTAAAAGCATATTTACACTCAATCATAATTATCAAGACAAAACAATAGGATGATATTTAAATATGGATGTACTTTCCTAGTTTCACATGGTATAGGACTTTAAATTAACATACAGGACAATATTTAACAATAAATAAACCGAACTGGTAGTTGAATGGAAAACACCTGACACCATGCCATCATTATTAAAGCAATATGAGGAAGAACCAAAAAAATGACCACCACAGTGACCAAACCCACAATAGAAATACTAAATAATATATTCATTTTAACAGCATGTAGAGTAGATATACTAATACCTTCCACAAACTCACTAAGACTTCTCTGTCTTCAAAATGTTAACACTGACTTGCTAAAAATGGAGAACGCTAGATCGGAGACGTTCCTGCAAGTATGACGTCATATGTAGATTGTGGGTAAGGGTTAGGCTTGGTCCAGGGTTAGGGTTAGGGCTAGCCCTGTTTACATCTTGAGACTTTGATGAAATCTGCAGGTCCTAACCCTTACCCTAACTCACATATGACGTCATACATGTATATGCTAAAATGTGCAGGACCATCTCCAATCTAGAGTTCTCCACTAAAAACACATAATTTTTCTAGTGTCAAATTTCCAAAGATTTTCATCGAAACAAAGTAAAATTGGAAATAACCAGAAAAATGTCTTGTTATGGCAGTGTAGTATTGGATTTCTATTGAACAAGCATGGAGAGTGTTGTATCAACAGTGTCTACTTAGTATAACACATATAATTTGTAATCTTAATATAAAAAAATACATCATACATAAATTGGATGCAGAATTTAACATGCATTCTTCAAGAGCTAAATTTGCCTATTGCAGGTCTTTTTTTAGGCCTAAAATGTTATATAAATTAGTAATTAGATATTAATTAACTTATCCAGATCATAATTAACTTATCCAAATCATAATTAACTTATCCAAACCATAATCAACTCGCGATGTCATCTTATGTGTCAGATTTTCACTGAATTAAGGGTTATACTGGTATACATTTGAGATTGTAATTCCACAACTATATGGAATAGGCTTCCATATTCTATTAGCAGCAACAATTCATTATCAAACTTAATAAGTCTTACATGTACAACTCATCTGTTTAAAAAATATGATTAATTATCTAAATCTAGTCAATTTATATTTTACTTTGAAAATTTGCAATATATATTTATTTTTGAACATGAAATGAAATAAAATGAAATGGGGTTTAACGTTCTACTGTTCTGCTCCGACTGGGCTAATGAAGACGGGCATACGCCATACAGTGTGCTATGAGGGAAATTTTGCCCGGGCAGCGGCACTATTGCCTACTCTTATATTGAATTCCAACTGCCAGGGGATCTTATACGTGCATTCCAATATATACACGGGACCTCGGTTTTTCGTCTCATCCGAAGGACTAGTCAGCTGTACTTGTCAGGCCCTCCGTCCTGCACCACTGACAAGGGAAACCACGTCGGTAAATCTGGATGAACATTTTGGATCTTTTACTTCATACATTGGAAATGGCACTATATAAATATTCTTAATAATAATTACAGAATATATTATCTGACAATAACTCATAATAAAGGAGAGAGAAATGGGGTTTAAAGTCCACTTGACACAAACTAGGTCATTTTGGGACTAACATACAGTTCAATCTTATTTCAATAATTTGCTTGCACGTAGTGGTCTTTAGCAGTGGGAGGAAACCGGAGTACCTGGAGAAAACCTGCGAGGTTGGACAGGTGACCCTACTCTTTTGTCACGTACAACCAGGGATTTGAAACCACGCCAGTTGACTCAATGACAGACCTTATGATACAACACGCACATGCTAACCATTCGGCCATCCAACCCCCTCATAATAAAGGAATGGAATTTTATATACAATTTAATTACCTATAGTTAATCTACATTACAGATGCATCACCTGGTCGTTCTTTCTAATAGTACAAAAATAGATAATGAAAAAGGAATATATTGAAATTATATTCAAATTACTTTATTCTGAGCGAATTTATAAAGATATAACCTAGATCTTTCATTATCGTAACTACGGTGCTTGACAACCGAGACTTAGCCTCGATTGTCTATTTTATCGTTAAATTTTAAAATATCTCTCCGCCATCTGATGGTCTAAGGAAATTGATTATAGAATTGCCATGTTAATAAATGTCTAATGGTTTGTATATTATTTGAAGCCAAAATAAACACTGGCAGATTTAGCTCTTACATAATGTATGTATAACATGTGAAGAGTCCAGGGGAAGAATGATCTAAGTCACATTTTTGTCTATAAAGGTCAAATAAAGGGTACGAGGGACTTGTATTTGTCCGGGAGGTCATTTCAGAAGGGCCTTGGTTCAATGGGACTCTGATCGTTTTTACCTGAAATTGATTGTTCCAAAGAAAGCTTATACAATTTGCTACCAGACGGCCCCATTAACTGAGGTTCGTTAAAAAAGTGACTTAGATCGTTCTTCCTCGGGGCTCTTCATGTATATTGTTGTGTTTAATAAATTAACTTAATAATTAAATACAGGAGATATATAACCTTTATATACACCATGTTCTAATAATTTTATTGTATGATACATCATTCATTCATTCCTTGAAGATTAAAGTCCGCTTCCACCTAGGGTGATATCGCAGACAAGGTATGTATGATACATAATTCTAACACGCTTTTGTCGAACATAAAAACAAGCATGATATTATGATAGTACTACATGTATATGAACTAGAAACAGAACATGACGTCATCGCAGCCATCTTGGAATTGTAACGTCACATCAAAAATCATGGTTTATGTCAATCGATGCACTATTGTCCAAAGAACAAACAAACCAAGTTTTACGTTGCTCATGGGCAGAGCATTTTACTTTTTTGAAGAGCATCATCTCAAAAGAGAGAGAAATGGGGTTTAACATCCTTTTAACACAAACTAGGTAATTTCAAGACTAATGTACGGTTCAATTTTATTTCAATAATTCACTTGTGCATAGGAGTCTTTAGCAGTGGGGGGAAACCGTAGGGCGTGGAGAAAACCCACGCGGTTGGACAGACATCATCTCAAGAACAAGGATAAGATTATGAATGTAGATAACTAACCCTAAGTGACTGTATTCTACATGGTTAAATGAAGATTAAATAAATATTGCAATACCATGCAATCACAGTAAGCACTGCCTGGGCTAATGAAGACGGGCAGTACATGTACCACAGAATCATACATACATGTAGTAAGAAAATTTGTATGTTTATTATGTCAAATGGTTGGCACAATGCTATGAATTAAAAGCACAATTTATCATGCCGTTACATACTATACAAGGTATTACATAATTATGTTAATAGGCCACAAGAATTTAAATTTCAGTTCTTCAGGAATCTTGATAAATATAGAGCCAGTTGAATTGCATGTTTAGTTTAAAATCTCAACACTTAAAAATTTGGAACTTAAAAGCTTTTGAACAGTTTAACTGGGTAAGAGAGAGAGAGAAATGGCTTTTAACGTCCACTGACACAAACTACATGTAGGTAATTTCGGGACTAACATATGGTTCAATTTCATTTCAATAATTCGCTTGCACATGGGGTCTTTAGCAGTGGGAGGAAACCGTAGGGCCTGAAGAAAACCCACGAGGTTGGACAGGCGACCCTATTCCTTGTCACGTACAACCGGGGAATCAATGACTCAATGACAGACTTTATGATAAAGCACAACCGCGCTAACCATTCGACCATCCACACCCACCTCCAACCATGCATATTTGGTTTCTAAATTAGTCTTTTACCTGAAGAAATAAGAAGCCCAATTTTAACAGGTGACCCTGAAGAACAGAAGATCAAATTAGTCCGTCCTTAGCAGTAATGTCCAGCAATACTACATATATCTCCACTTAATCTTAACAAATTACATCAAGTCATAATCCAAAAATATATCTTTATTAATAAAATAAATTTATTTCTGTTCAAATCTTTAACAGCATTTCCTGTTTATAACTTTGATTTAAATAAGACAAAATGTAATCTAATTTAAAATTGGTCACAATAAAATAAATAATCTATAACAGAATTGTGACGCAGAGAAATTTTTTAGCTAGATTTAATACCAGCTAGTCTTTGTTTTAGTATCACCAAACGTGTAGTTGATTCTCAAATAACAATTGTCCACTATTTAGCCGCTACCCATGAACCCCTACCCATAAAATCAGAACCTTTTGATTTGCCCAATGTTGGAAAATCATTGGCCACATGTTTCGATGAATGTGTTGAACTGTCAACCTTCAGCGTGACCTGACCACAAGTGGGACAAACTGAAAAATCGTTGAAAGCCGACCACGGTGCTTTTTGTGTTTTTCCACTAATTTTAATCACGTTGTCCTTGAGTTTTTTAACTGATTGATTATGAACACTAAGTAGATCCTGTTGTTTTGTGATGTCAGGCAGTAGAACTAGAAGTTCTGTAAACACATCACCAAATATTTTTTTACCTATTAATTTCTCGCAGCTGTAGTAGTATTCGGAGGCCATGATTTCATTTTGTCGAAATTGCCAAGATTTGGTCTTGAATTCATCGAACTTGTCTTGTGTACCCAGGGCATCTCGAATACGCTGTACCAGTTTTTGATTGCGCGACTGAAATTCATCTGGTTGAATGTATGAGTAGGAGGATGTTTTAACAGGCGCTGGTTCTGGTACGGACAGCGATTTTTTCTCTTCTGTGGATCCAAATCCTGGAGGAGGACGACTAGGAGCAGGACTAGGAGCAGGAGCAGGAGCAGGAGCAGTAAATCCAGGAGGTGGTTTCTTGTTTGACTTCGGAAATCCAGGTGGTGGCGCCTTAGTAGCCAATGATAATGATGGGAAGTCAGACGATGACGATATTGAGGGCGCCGGTGTCACAGGTAACGAAATAACAGGTATTTTATCTATATCAGGAGTGACAGATTTAATTTCTTTCTCAACCATCTTTTTGGGTGCAGGTTCCATTTTTTCCGCCTTCTTTTTTGATATGGATTCACTTTCAGGCAACATAGCGTGTACGTTCTTTTGTTTGGCAGATTTTGTAATAGTTCGATCCTTTTCTTCATTCAGTAGTCCCATGGCAATACCATCAAGCGATGCAGGAGTTTCGTTCTTTTTCGATTTCCGTTTCTTACCCTCACCTGATGGTTTCTGTTTGTTTTCGGCAGACGGTGGATTATTTTCTACGTTTGATTCAGAATTAACATTAACGCTATCTTTATCCTTATTTTTCTTTTTCTTCTTCTTTTTTGACGAGTTCGTATCCATTAATTCATTGTCATTATTTGTACTAACAATTTGGACTGTTGCCGCTTTCGGAATTTCAAAATCATCATCAACTTTTAATTTTGTATTTTTTAATTGAGGTTTTTTCATTCCTGACCACGCCGATTTAGTATTTACTGCGGTGGGTTTCGCTTTTCCACTTAAAGACGGAAAATCATTTTCAACACATAACGACATACCCACCGACGCTAAAGAATTAGAATTAGTTTTTTGGGTTTGTTTCACGGGTTTTGGTTTCGGCGGCTCCACTTTTTCGGGCTGAAGATTAGGTCTCACTAAATCAGTTCTTTGGCTCTTCTGTGTCCAAACACCTAATGATATTAAATTTGAATTTCGATTTTTCGAAGCACTTAAATCGGGGAAGTCTTCTTCCTTCACTTTTTTGGATGACATAACGGGTTGCATCACCCTAGCAACCGGAGAAGTCCTACCTGAACCTTTTTTATCCTTAATCACAGGAGAGTTACGACCAGAATTATCACTGTTTTTATTCGAAACGCCCAATTTGGCACTACCTTTTTTCAACTGAGGAAAAGCTTTATTGGCATTGTCTAAAGCTTTTTCACTGTTGCTTATTTTTGAGGCTAAACTTGTGGTAGGTTTCGGGACAGAGTTCGTTGTTTGATTTGATGACGTCGACTTGGTAGTCGTGGTTGTGGTGATTGTTGAGGTATTAGAAACTGCTGCAGTGGATGAAGTGGGATCTTGACCTGATAAAGCTGGAAAATCTTGTCGAATATCTTCAGCGGACCAAGACATTCTCCTGCCAGAAGCTTCGCGTTTAGATGCTTCAATAGCCTTTTCAATTTCTTCTCTATCGCTGCAAAAAAAGATCAGAATATTATGAATCATTATCGAAAATTAAATGTTGGTTATATAATATACTGAATCATGAGAGGTAATATGTCTGCATTTTCATACTCCGTCAGCGCAGATGGGTGAGTGGATCAAGATCTACAGGTAGACAGGTGCGTGGGTGGATCGAGATTTACAGATAGGCAGATGGGTGGATCGAGATCTACACATAGACAGGTGCATGGGTGAATCAAGATTTACAAATAGGCAGGTGGGTGGATCAAGATCTACAGGTAGACAGGTGCGTGGGTGGATCAAGATTTACAGATAGGCAGGTGGGTGGATCGAGATTTACAGTTTGGCAGCTGTGCATCGATGGATGGAGATCTACAGGTAGACAGGTGCATTGATGGATCGAGATTTACAGATAGACAGGTGGGTGGGTGGATCAAGATTTACGGATAGGCAGGTGAAATGGTTGTGGAGATCTATACAGGTGTTATTCGTTTGGACGCAACTGTGGATATTTTACAACAGTCCCTAACTAGCTAAATGTTGCGTAGTTCTAAAAGATAAAAGATTGAAAAAAACTGGTTAAAACATTTCTGACCATTTCTGACTTTAGATAGCCATGACATCTTCTCAAATATCTGACCTAACTATCTAATTATAAAAGCATGAAAAAATCCTTTGAAGGTCGGAAATAAAATGGGGTTTAACGTCCACTCGACACAAACTAGGTCATTACGGCACTAACATATGGTTCAATTTCATTTCCATAATTCACTTGCGCGTAGGGATCTTTAGCAGTTGGAGGAAACCATTGGACCCGGAAAAAACCCACGAGTTTGGACAGGCGACCCTACTCCTTGTCACGTACAACCGCGGAATTGAAACCACGCCAGTTGACTCAATGACAGACTTTATGATACAGCTCGCACGTGCCAACCAATCGGCCATCCAACCACCCACAATGTTGGGAAGACGACCCTTCTACTTGTCACATACAACCGCGGAATTGAAACCACGCCAGTTGACTCAATGACAGACTTTATGATACAGCGCGCACGTGCCAACCAATCGACCATCCAACCACCCACAATGTTGGGAAGACGACCCTTCTTCTTGTCACATACAAACGGGGAAACAGAACCACGCCACTAGACTCAATGAAATCAAAATGGCCGAATACTTACTCAACATAATTATCTCTGTTGTTACGATATCCGCGCCCCGATCCATTATTATATCCTCGTCCTCTACCTCGGCCACCATTATCGTTTTTAATTTCTTCAAAATCTCGTCTAGTAATATGACCTGAAATAAATTGTTACAACTTGTTCAAATTCACTGTTCAGGGAGAGAGAGAGAGAGAGAGAGAGAGAGAGAGAGATTGGATTTAACATCCACTCAACACAAACTAGGTCATTTTGGGACTAACATATGGTTCAATATATCCTTGAGGCCATACCAATTTGAATTTTTGTTCTTCAGATCAACTCCAGCTTCTTCCGATCAACTCCAGGTTCTTCAAGAAAAATACTAATTTCAAAACAAAAACTATTTATTTTCTCTTCTCAACACTTTTAGTTCTAAACATATAAGTATTGAAAATTTAACAAAACACCGTACACAAGAATGGAGTGGGTTATTTTACAGATCAAGACATGAAGAACTACAAATTTAAATTGGTTTCACCTCACAGTATGATTTTTTTTGTGTATCTGCAGACGCACATTTTATTCTTACGGGATAAAGGACAAACATATGATATACTCTTGTCGTCCTTGGGTCATTCATTTTCTGTACCATTCATATTCTTGGTACAGACGCTGTCGTCTACTTTTATTTTACCTTGTACAATCAGCGTAGTTGAACTGGAAAACAGGAGACAAGGATACGACACCCAGCTTGAGACTCGAACATGTAACCATCAGGAGGTTACAGATCTAGCTCATCAACCACTGTGTCGTTTCCCTGTAAAATATTATAATGACATGACCAAATGAATATCATCCATACTCTCTCAATTAGTTGTTTGATCCACTGACAGAATTTTTATACTACATGTACATGTACTACTACAGTTGGGTAACCCACTGATATAGTGATTGTTATCCATAGAAATGTGTTGTGTTATATACTCTTCAAAAAAAAAAAAGTAGGGGATATTCAGATGCAAATACCTATGCAGGATGTGATATGATAAATAGTCATGGACATTTGACATATGTTCACAGATGAAGAACTTATCGCCCCAACAGAACCAACTGAGCTGCACATGCGACACGCAATAGCACCATACACGTGGGAGGGGTTCATTGTCAAATTTATTGACACTTCAAGGAAGGGTTGATGAAAACTGCCGTGTGCTGGTTTATCTATCCATGTTTGCGTTCCTATCGGTTCTTGCATAACATTTACTGCTTTAGTGTGTTATGTTTAATTTGTCGACGTCAACCGACAACACTGCAAGAATTGACAGTGGCACACTAATTTGTAAACAGGACCTTGGTTTTTTGTCCCATCTGAATGACTAGACAGCTGTCCTTGTCAGGCGGAGGACCTGCACCACTGCCAAGGGGAAACCACGCTGGAAAATATGGATTAACTTTCTCGGCCAATGCGTCTTACCCATTTAGCCACCGCGACCCCTGAAAATCTTAAAGCATCTTATAATACAAAAAGAGTAACTTACCTCGATCTCTGCCCATTCTACGAGGTGGTAATTGTATTTCTATATCTAGTCGACCAACTTCTCGTATCTGTGCTTTTGACATGCCTCTGGTATGGTGAGATGATTTGTGACCCTTCAGATCAATACTGGAGCGGAATGCATTCGTAAACTGTGTATGAGGATCTCCACATTGTTCTTCTTCACACAGAAAATGAGCGTTTCGAAAATGTGTTTTTAATTCTGGATAATCACTAAAAAAGAAGAAGAAAAGTTATAAGGATTAAAAGTTTTGATTCCCGGCCTTTAACATAACAGGAACTAGGGTTGCCTGTTCAAACTCCTGGCTTTTTTCAGGGTTCTGCCGTGTCCTTACACCGCAAGCTAATTATTATTGAAACAAAATTGAATCATGCATGTACGTTAGTCAGAAATGACAAAGTTGTGTCAAGTGAACGTTAAATAAATGGGGTTAAATATCCTACGGTTCTGCTCTGACTAGGTTAATGAATTCAGGCCTACTCCATGAAGTGTGTGCTACAACAAGAGTGAAACAGAAAATCCTGTTGAACTTTCTGCCAACACAGGGATCGAACACGGGACCTCCAGGTAAGCAAGCCAATGTCCTACTCATGGAGCCAGCACTGTTCCCTAGATTACTACAAGGAAACCGTACAAGACCAGACCATCACAAAACTTACTTATAATATTCATTAGTTCCATCAGCATCACAGAAATGACAGAAATAATGATCTTTGCGTAAATGTCTCAAGAGTTCGTCATTGTCCATATATCGTTCATCACAAAACACACACAACGGATGACCTTTATACGACTTGTCATCAGCATCACCAACTCTTCTATGTGTGGCTAAATCCTTACGATTATAAAACTTTCTTTCAAATGGAAAAATCTGAAATTGTAAGTAACATTATTTTAAATCAAATGTACAATTTACTAAGATTATCTTTTCCTTAAACAATTGTGAATGGACCTGAACGTCCATATGAAAATGTGGGTGTATAAATATATAAATAACAATCGGTTGAAAGGCGCTGCATTAATTGAAAGTAGTATAACTCTGAAACAGGAAGCAGTAGGCCAACGCCACCTAGTCTATGATACTCCCCGGTCCGAGCTACCCCCATACACCAAATTTCAGCCTTGGGACAGCCCTAGTGTAGCCACTAACCCTGAACAGACAAACAAACAAACGACAGTCACAAATATTACTATAGACAATATCATCATTTATAAATCGTATACTAAAGAAGAGTTTTTAAGGCACTGTTGATTGTTACATTCACCAATTATTTACGATTTGAAACAAGAATTTTTGAGTTGAGATTTAAAACAGCTCACTACTGATGTGAATAGTTTCATTACCAATCTGATTACAATACAGATCTATATTTCGTTTTGTTTTTTTTATTACACTTTCGATGGCCAACACTACATGAAGATCTGACAAGTTGTACTGTAAGGTCGTGTCAGGGGTCGTACGAGTGGTTTTTGACCCTATGACATCAAACATTGATTAATTAAACTTCGTTGACATTTCTAGTGGCTTACCCACAGTTCCGTGCATGACACGCCAAGAAGTCGCTGTAACAGACCGTTTGATTGGCTTATCCCTCACTTCAACCAAAATGCCTATATAATATAACAACTCTTCCCGATCCTAGTGTAGTAAAGACGAGTAAACAAAATTTTGAACTATAAAAAAAGAAACGAAATAGAATCTGTGTTTTAATCGGACTGATTACTTAGATACTGTGCAGGTATACTTACATTTAAATGTTTGAGACAGAGATCACAGAAGAATAACGTATGTTCCTTACGAAGATGATCTCTTAAAGACTCAAACGTTCGATCCGGAGTTTTATCTTCTGTACAAATCGGACACTTGATACATAAAAGTTTTTTATAAGCTTTCTCTACTTCATCGTTCTCCAGATAAATATTTTGCTTGGTTATTTTGAATTTTTCCAGTTTGATTTTCTCAAACTTCAACAGGTTTTGAACAAATGCAACCTGTAAAAAAAAAAATTAATACAAAATATAATACAAATTTTGAATTCAAGTTTGATTCTTTTGAATCTCAATAGGTATTGAACAAATGCACGTATTAAAACAGAGAGAGATAAATAGGGTTTAACGTCCACTCGACACAAACTAACAAACCAGGTCATTTCGGGACTCACATATGGTTCAATATTATTTCAATAATTCACTTGCACGTTGGGGTCTTTAGCAGTGGGAGGAAACCGGAAGACCCAGAGATAACCCATGAGGTTGGACAAGCGATCCTACTCCTTGTCACGTACAACCGGGGAATCGAAACCAGCGATAAAACAGATTAATACAAATTATAATTTAAACAAATAGCAGATGCTAAAAGTTTCCTAAACTGTAATCAATTAATATTTCGCTAATTTAATCTTTGATGTTGAATTTATAATTTCAATAAACCTAAACTTGTAACATCTATAAAAGCAAATCTGGACATAACGCACCTGTCACAGACATTTTCAACACAAATTATTACACAACGTAGGCCAACATATTATAATATTTAAGTTGTGTGATAATATTTGTATCTGATGTCTAGGCCTGTATATACATTTTGTGATAATTTGTACTTGACAATGTCTCCGACAAGAGTATGTATACTAGGTTTGTATATATCTATACCAATATTTGTGACTGTCGTTTGTCTGTCTGTCTGTCTGTCTGTTCGGGGTTGGCGGCTACACAAGGTCTGCCCCTAGTCTGAAATTTGGGGTATAGGGGTAGCTTGGACCGGGGAGTAACATAGGCCAGGTGGCGTTAGTCTACCACTTCCGGTTTCGGAGTTATGACCCCCGAGCGAAGCCGGGCTGTTCGGGGTTGGCGGCTACACTAGGTCTGCCCCTAGTCTGAAATTTGGGGTATAGGGGTAGCTCGGACCGGGAAGTAACATAGGACAGGTGGTGTTAGTCTACCACTTCCGGTTTCGGAGTTATGACCCCCGAGCAAAGTCTGTCTGTTCGGGGTTGGCGGTTACATCTGCCCCGAGTCTGAAATTTGGGGCATAGGGGTAGCTCGGACCAGGGAGTAACATAGGCCAGGTGGCATAAGTCTACCACTTCCGGTTTCGGAGTTATGACCCCCGAGCGAAGCCGGTCTGTTCGGGGTTGGCCGCTACACTAGGTCTGCCCCGAGTCTGAAATTTGGGGTAATGGGTAGCTCGAACCGGGGAGTAACATAGGCCAGGTGGCGTTAGTCTACCACTTCCGGTTTCGGAGTTATGACCCCCCGAGCGAAGCCGGTCTGTTCGGGGTTGGCCGCTACACTAGGTCTGCCCCGAGTCTGAAATTTGGGGTATAGGGGTAGCTCGGACCGGGGAGTAACATAGGCCAGGTGGCGTTAGTCTACCACTTCCGGTTTCGGAGTTATGACCCCCGAGCGAAGCCGGTCTGTTCGGGGTTGGCCGCTACACTAGGTCTGCCCCGAGTCTGAAATTTGGGGTATAGGGGTAGCTCGGACCGGGGAGTAACATAGGCCAGGTGGCGTTAGTCTACCACTTCCGGTTTCGGAGTTATGACCCCCGAGCGAAGCCGGGCTGTTCGGGGTTGGCGGCTACACTAGGTCTGCCCCTAGTCTGAAATTTGGGGTATAGGGGTAGCTCGGACCGGGAAGTAACATAGGACAGGTGGTGTTAGTCTACCACTTCCGGTTTCGGAGTTATGACCCCCGAGCAAAGTCTGTCTGTTCGGGGTTGGCGGTTACATCTGCCCCGAGTCTGAAATTTGGGGCATAGGGGTAGCTCGGACCGGGGAGTAACATAGGCCAGGTGGCATAAGTCTACCACTTCCGGTTTCTGAGTTATGACCCCCGAGCGAAGCCGGTCTGTTCGGGGTTGGCCGCTACACTAGGTCTGCCCCGAGTCTGAAATTTGGGGTAATGGGTAGCTCGAACCGGGGAGTAACATAGGCCAGGTGGCGTTAGTCTACCACTTCCGGTTTCGGAGTTATGACCCCCCGAGCGAAGCCGGTCTGTTCGGGGTTGGCCGCTACACTAGGTCTGCCCCGAGTCTGAAATTTGGGGTATAGGGGTAGCTCGGACCGGGGAGTAACATAGGCCAGGTGGCGTTAGTCTACCACTTCCGGTTTCGGAGTTATGACCCCCGAGCGAAGCCGGTCTGTTCGGGGTTGGCCGCTACACTAGGTCTGCCCCGAGTCTGAAATTTGGGGTATAGGGGTAGCTCGGACCGGGGAGTAACATAGGCCAGGTGGCGTTAGTCTACCACTTCTGGTTTCGGAGTTATGACCCCCGAGCGAAGCCGGTCTGTTCGGGGTTGGCCGCTACACTAGGTCTGCCCCGAGTCTGAAATTTGGGGTATAGGGGTAGCTCGGACCGGGGAGTAACATAGGCCAGGTGGCGTTAGTCTACCACTTCTGGTTTCGGAGTTATGACCCCCGAGCGAAGCCGGGTATCCTGCTAGTATGTTATATTTTAATTTGTGTCTTGACAAGGTCTGTGTGACAGGTGCCTTATGTCCAGGTTTTTGTACTTGACAGATGTGTCTGGTGCCTTACATGTATTGGGGGTTGGATGGATGGACGAATGGTGTTAGCATGTGCGCGCTGTATCATAAGGTCTGTCATCGAGTCAACTGCCGTGGTTTCGAATCCCCAGTTGTACGTGACAAGGAGTAAGGTCGACTGTCCAAACTCATGGGTTTTCTCCGGTTTCATCCCACTACTAAAGACCCCTATGCGCAAGCGAATTATTGAAATAAAATTGAGCCATGTGTTAGTCCCAAAATGATCTAGTTTGTGTTGAATGGATGATAAACCCCATTTCTCTCTCCCTCCTTACATGTACATAATGTCCAGGCTTAATCTATAGAGAACAACATATTGACTGAGAATCAACGACACAGGTGAATGTATTAATAACCCATGCCAGTTAGCAAGAGCCTATTTCATTGTACAAGCAAAGTCACAAAAATCAATAATGAAGTTATGGGTCAATGACATAGGCCTGGCCTACTGTCAGTTATTTTAGAAAAGATATCAATGCCATCAAATGACAATCAAAACTTTTGGCTTGAATAATGGCTGCCAGTCATAGTGTCACTTTCACTTTCAATTTCTTAACTTATTTAACTTCCTTGATTACGGAGACTGGAGATTTCCAACTGCATCTTAACATATCATGATTATCAAATTTAACATCTGATGTTTTTTCATATTCACAACTTCGATCATAACCGGTGTTACTGAAAGTTCTATTTAAATATTGCATGCCAACGCCAGTAATACATTTTTTATTGCTGGTTGTGTCTTGGAGTTGGGTACAGGAACTTTGTGTTAAACATTTTTAGCATCTCGCAATCACTAATCAGTAAGTCTTGTTCAAGAGATTTCATATCCAAAATTTTGGTGTGCCAATACTCAAAACACATAAGCTGGACTTCTTTTGTGTTTTCACTTTTTTGGGGTGGGGGGCAAGTTTACACACCTGTGACCTTTCACAGTCTGATTTAATTAGATGGATTTAGATAAAATAAAATAAAACCAAGTACGAACAATCCAAACCATAAGACAGAATTCGAAGTCCTAAAAAACGTTATAGGCAAAATAGTGTATTCAAGCAAAATAGTGTAAACAGCCAAATGGTCTAGGCAATATGTCAAAATTGTTTGTTTCTGGTATTTTATTGGTACTTACCTTACGAAGATCCCCTCTACATATCGGACAGTACATTTGATCACATAGCAGCCTCATCCTGCTAGAGCATCGATAGCAAATTGGGTGGTTACAGGAACCAACTGCAAATATTTCCATGTGTTCATGGCAAACAGTACAAACTTCGACACTTTGAGAACGTTCCATGGCTTCAGATATCGATGTAATTAACTAAAATATACTTGTGACAGTTTTTACCTCTTTGGTTAAAATATAAGGGTATTTATTGGCAGGGTATGATGAAATGGAAGTTGAAAAATAGAATACTTATGTAAAAAGTTGACAACACGACCTTTCTTTCGGTGGCGCAATGTGTGTAAACGTAACCAAAATATGTGTTGTCTAAAAATAGATTTTCCAAATACATTTTCCGTTATTTGATATTTAATTGTTTTCATATCACTAAGGTATCATTATTTAATATTTCGTGAGAAAATAAACATTTTACAAACTTTTATAATTAAATCATTATAATATTTTTTTACCGGACAGTAAAAGTGTGTGTGACGTCATTGATTAGTGCGTTCACATTATTCGCAGCAGGCAAAATGTCTAATCCACAACAAGGAGCTGGCGCCTACGGTGCAGGAAAAGCCGGTGGGGCTTTTGACCCAGTCCTATACATTAAAAAACCTCAAGTTATATTGAGGCTAGTTTCACTGGTATGTTTGAAAATTTGTTTCAGATGTGCTATCACATCATTTCCTTCGTAAAAACGCTTCATAAACAAGGAGGACGTTGGTGGCCCATCACATTGCGAATGCATTTTGTATCGATTCTTTTGCATTTGGAATGGTGGTCCTGATTTGATTTTCAGTAGACCCACGGACAAAAAAAATTATCGTAAATACAGACGTTTTTAGTTGACATATAATTGTATTATAAGTTTTTAATTGCTAATTGTTGTTTTGATTAGATATCGCCACTGTATTTTCGTTGACCATGATCATTGATTGATTGCTCATTATCATGTGAAAACAAGTCAAGTTTATAAGTGACCAACCGGTTCTCTCATTATCATAGCCTCCAATTCTTATATGCTACATATAGTACACCTTAACAAAATGATACATTCTTACTACTGTCGACAGTTCTTGTGATTTAACGCTCCAGTTTCTGTTTGACTTTTCTTTAAAAACTAGGTATTTTATAGTCGTTTTTTTTTTTTCAAAGTCAAAAGTGAAAACATGACAATGAGTCATCATGTATATTTGTTTACATTAAGACTTAAAGGTTATTTTTGGGGAACTCGAACACTCAGTCTATGAAGTTTAGCCTACTGACGGATTGAGAATTGGTCGCAATTTTTGTACAATTAAATTTCGATTCCAACTGTATTATCGCTAAATCACATTGGACCAGAAATCATTGAACTGTGATCATATATTGTCATTACCCGTGTAATAACAGGGTTGCAAATGAAATGGGGTTTAACGTCCTACTTTTCTGCACCGACTGGACCAATGAAGCTACATGTAGGTACATGGGACGTAGCAGAAATGAAATATGTTTTATATTAATATATAAAATAATGTAAGCATAAATGTTCTAAGTTCCATCAGAGAATGCCAGTACATGTAGACTAGACACTGTCCCGTGCCAGACTCTCTGTCCTGAGGAAACAATGCTAGGAAAGTCAGAGGAACTTTCTCGTACATAACCAGGAGCAAACCTGAGACCCTCATGTACTGGCTAACAAAATGAAATGGGGTCTAACGTCCTACTGTTCTGCTCCTATACTGGGCTAATGAAGACGGGCATACGCCATACAGTGTGCTATGAGGTAAATTTTGCCTGGGCAGCGGCACTATCGCCTATTATATTGAATTCCAACTGCCAAGGGATCTTTTACGTGCATTCCAAATGTATACACAGGACCTCGGTTTTTGATATCATCCGAAGGACTAGACAGCTGTCCTTGTCAGGCCCTCCGTCCTCCATCACTGACAAGGGGGAACCACGCTGGAAAATCTGGATGAACTTTCTCGGCCAGTGCAGGGATCGAACACCCTTCCTCCAGGCTAGCGAGCCAGCGTCTTACCCACTTAGCCACGTGATCCCCCGAACTGGCTAACAAGCCAGCTTCTTACTCACTTAGCCACCATGACTCCCAAGATGCAAATGAAGCATTTTAGGTATTTTTATTAATTATACATTTATCATTTTTGTACTTTCAGATTTTCTCCATTGTGGTTTTTGGATGTATTTCTTCTAAAGCATACAATTCAAAACATCAGTGTCAAATGAATAATGATATGAATGCATGTGGATATGGAATGGGAATAGGGGTGTTAGCATTCTTAATATGCATTGCTTTTTTAGTAATAGATGCTATGTTTGAAAATCTGAGTAGTATCCAACATAGAAAATATGTTGTTATGGCCGATTTGGGAATATCAGGTAAGGAAATGTAGTGATGCAATCTGATTAAAAAACAGATCCTATTTCATTTGGTTTTTTATATACTATTCAAAAAAAGTAGGGGATATTTGATTTTTAAGTGTTATTAAAGTCACCTAATGAAACTGACGAAGAAACAAATGACAAAATGAAATGAAGTTCACATTCATCGATTTATTCCAAATGATCGTTAGACTAAGTAAGGCACAGACTGACCATTATAAGGGTAAAATGATACCCGGGGTCAAACAGCAAAGTTACCACAGCATCACAACCAAGTCAGTAACGGGTAAATCCTCCTCTGTTTGCCAAACAAGCATTGATCCGACGTGGCATACTCCTAATGAGACGTCTAAGGTCATTTCGGTCCAAATTGTCCCAGTCCTGTTGCAACACAGCAGCAAGTTCTTGGACATTGGCAGGACGTTGTTGATGTTGAAGTAACATCTGTCCAAGCATGCTCGATGGGGGAGAGGTCAGGACTCAGTGCTGGCCAAGGTAATGTGGTGATGTTCTGTTGTTGGAGGTAACCTGTAACGATCCTGGCCCTGTGACATCTTGCGTTGTCATCCTGGAAGATGAAACGGCGGCCATGACGTCGTGCGAACGGCACAACATGGACTGCCAAGATGTTGTCCCGGTAGTACTGGCCTGTAACACGCCCTGCAACAACATGTAAAGCCGTTCTTCCAGCAACAGTGATGCCTCCCCACACCATAACAGAACCACCCCCAAATCGATCATGTCTGATGACGTTAACGTCTTGGAAGCGCTCGTTTCGACGACGCCACACCCTCCAACGTCTGTCCAAAAAATCAACAGTGAACCTTGACTCATCTGAAAACATCACATTGCTCCAGCGTCGATTATCCCAGTGTTGACGATCCCTACACCAACGACGTCTTGCCTGAATGTGATGATCTCTCAAACAAGGGATCACGCGAGGACGTCGGGCGCGAAGGTGACCCCTATGCAGTCGATTCCGAATCGTCTGGCCACTCACTCTCACACCAGTGTCTGTTTGAAGACGAGCGCTGATCTGATTTGCTGTGATGACACGATTTCTCAAGGCCAAGGTACGAATAAATCGATCCTGGGCTTGAGTTGTCGCCCTTGGTCGACCAGAGCGTGGTCTGTCCTGTACAGATTGTGTATCACGGTATCTGGACCATAGCCTGCTTATGACAGACTGAGAAACATTCATTGTCCGCGCCACAACCGCCTGTGTTGTGCCGATCTGTAGCATGCCAAGGGCACGTAACCTTTCATTTTGGGTAAGCCGACGCATATCAAAATTTGTTTTCTGGTCACTAAAACAATTAAACTGATGTTTCCACCCTGGAATTCAATGCCACAATGACTGTAACATTCAAAGTCAGAGTCGTGCAAATCTTGGGTTGGACCCCCATGATGATCCCAAGCATCACATGCATTCCATGCGGTAGCTATTGGTGCGTTTGGGCGTCACATGTAACTGGAAATGTTCCTTCTGTTAGGTTCTATAGTGACTTTTTTCGTAGTCATTTGCATATTTTAGTATTATGCCCCCAAAATCAAATATCCCCTACTTTTTTTGAATAGTATAGTTCAAAATTTCATTTTACTTGTCTTTACTACACTAGGATCTGGAAGAGTTGTTATATTACCGGTGTTTTGGTTGAAGTGAGGGATTAGCCAGTGAAACAGTCTGTTACGGTGACTTCTTGGCGTGCCATACAGGGAACTGTGGGTAAACTACTATAAACGTCAACGCTGATTGATTAATCAATGTCTGACTTCATAGGGTCAAAAGCCGCTCGTACGACCCCTGACACGACCTTCCAGTACAACTTATCAGATCTTCATGTAATAGAGGCCATCGAAAGTATAAAAATATGAAACGAAATATAGATCTGTATTTTAATCAGATTGTGTAATGAAAGAAATTTAGAATTTATTTTTTCTGAAAGTTTCAGTTTAAAATAGTCAGCTATTCCAATTTTTCTAGAAGTTGACCAGAACAGAGATAAGGACCACTGACCTATTGTTTACATTCACTTGCATAGAAGACCTGACAAGCAAGACTTTAGGCAAATTAGACATGTTTTATTCAGGCACAACTACAGCTGTCAGATTGTGTTTCTTCAGAAAGGTTCCTTGCAAAGAGTTTTATTTCATTCATACTCAAATATTTGTGGAATTACATGTACATGTAGTCTACTGTAAATATAACCTCCAATGGCTCAAATGTGGCAATTTAGTCTATTGACCATGTCTGGATGACCAAATGGTTAACGCAAGCATGTTCGACTGGCATGGAGAGAAATGGGGTTTAACGTCCACTCGACACAAACTAGGTCATTTTGGGACTAACACATGGTTCAGTTTTATTTCAATCATTCGCTTGCGCATTGGGGTCTTTAGCGGTGGGAGGACCCGGAGAAAACCGTACAACCGGGGAATTGAAACCTTGCCAGTTGACTCAATGACAGACCGTATGATACAGCGCGCGCGGGCTAACCATTCGGCCATCCAACCCCCCAATTAGGCTTGTACATGTACGTGACTAGGACTAGGGTCGCCTGTCCAACCTTGTGTTTTCTCTGGGTCCTTCAGTTTCCTCGCACTGCTAAAGAACCCTCAGCGCAAGCGAATTATAGAAAATAAAAATTGAACCATGTGTTGGTCCTGAAATGACCTAGTTTGTGTCGAGTTAATGTTAAACCCTATTTCTCTCTCTCACTAGCCATAATCGTCCACTGCACAGCATCGTCCTAGGCCAGTAGTGATACAGACTTCACTCATAACAAGGAAGACAATACGAAACAGAGGAAATATTTCCCTTATTGTATCATACTGGCGTGAGTCATGATTGACTGTGTGTTACAGAGTACAACTGGATTAAAAAGACTTACATATATTATAGTTGAGTCTGCTACTTTTAAAGTTACATAATGTAAGATTTAGATAAAAAAAACAAAAAAAAACAGGCCTCTCTTGCTATAGGCTTAATAGTTCAAAAATAGATAATGCAAAATGAATATATTGAAAATTTCATTCAAATTACTTTATTCAGAGCGAAGTTATCACTGTTATGAGGTTTGACAATTTGTGGCATTGATTGTTTATTATCATAACAACAGGACTTGTTAATCGAGACTTAACCTCGCCTCGCCTCTCCATTTTTAAATTAAATTGTTACATGACCGAAATGTTCTAATGTACTTAAAATCAGAGACATCCAATGATCTAGAGAGTTGATTATGGGCTTGTCATATTAATAAATGTTTAAATAACATTTGAAGCCAGAAAAAAGATATGCAATAGACAGATTTAGCTATTACATAATGCAAGTTTAAAGTATTTTAAATTGAAATATTTGTAACATTAATTATATGTATTTAAATGTTTGTATTTTGTAGCTGGATGGACATTCTTGTGGTTTGTTGGATTTTGTTATTTAACAGATGCCTGGAGGAAAACAAGTACTACTGATCAATTTTATGAATATGGAAATGATAACATACAAGCAGCTATTGCATTTTCTTTTTTCTCAATCTTTACTTGGGTACGTTATTTTAAACTTCCTAGTTATTAAACAGATTTTAATATTTATCGCTCTACTCAGAGATTGATAATATATAAGGCCGTATCAATTTGATTTTCTGTTTTTTCGGGATGTTGATAAATAAATAACTACTTGAACCGTGGAAGATGTTTTATTTAAAATCTCAAAACTTAAAGATTTGTAACTAAAGCTTTTGAACAGCACAAACCGGTATATTGCCTTTGTCCATGTCCGTACATCTGTACGTAATTTCTTGCGAACACTCTACAGGCTATATTTATGTAGTTTACATTAGTGAGATGAAGATGCCTACATCTATTAAATTTCAACAATTTCCGTTAATTATTTTCCATGTTATGGTCCTTGTTCACTTTGTAGAACCTTATGATCTGTATGAAATTTTTATGCATTATTTCGATCAGTAAAATGAAGATGCCATCTGACTTTCAGCAATTTCCATGATTACTTCTAGAGTTATGGCCCTTGTTTCACTTTGTTTTACCCCCTGTGAACGCTATAATTACAAAAATTATTGTCTGATCTGTATTAAATTTATATACGTTCATAGGATTAGTAAAACGAAAATGCCCATTGAATTCCAGCAATTTCTGTTTCTAACTTCTAGAGTTATGGCCCTTGTTTCACTTTGTTGAACGACAAAAGTTATTAAGATAGTAAAACAAGAAATCCCATAGAATTTCGTCAATTTCTGTTTCTAACTTCTACTAGTTCTAGAGGTGTTGTGGACCTTGTTTCACTTTGTTGAATTCTTTGTGAACGACAAAAGTTATCATTCAATCTGTATGAAATTGATAAGTGTCTTGTAAGAGCTACCATTATCTATAAAAGAATGAATATGCGACAGGTGTATGTTTCATTGCCTGGCAAACTATCATAAGTCTTTTTCCAAAAGAAAAAAGAACAATTGTACAGGTGTTCCCCCCAAAAAAAGGAAATCAAATAGGTGTGAAATAATTTAAAAACCTGAAATCTCAGGTCTCTCTTTTTTATGGTTTTGAGCAAACATCAACTGCCAATTGTACACAATAATTCGATGGTAAGCAACTTGATAAATATATATAATAAAAAAAATCATTCTTCATGTTTTTGGTTAAAATGATCTTGAGTTATGTTTGAAATGTTTTCTTGTCGGACACCTTGTCCTTGACCACAGAAAAGGGGAAACCACACTGGTAAACCTGGATTTTATAAATCCACTGCAGATCCGATTGTTGAAGTGACATTTTGTTATTTATTCAAATACTTTCTTGCAAGGGGGCGTTGGGTGACCGAATGGTTAACATGTAACGTGTGCATGTTGTATCATAAGGTCTCTCATTGAGACAAGTAGTTGGGTTTCGATTCCTCGGTTTTACATGACAAGGCGTAGGGTCGCCTGTTTACACTTAAGAGAATTAATGAAATAAAATTGAACCATGTTAGTCTCTCTCTCTCTCTCTCTCTCTCTCCCTCCCCCTCCTGTCTCTCTCTCTCTCTCTCTCTCTGTCTGCCTCTCTCCCCTTAACCACTGAAAAGGGGAAACCACCCTGGATTAACGTGGGAAACTTCTTGGCCAACACCATAAGAAAACCTGGTACCCCACTGAGTCACTGTGGCTCACATTATTGCAATGACATTGTGTTGTGTTTCAAATACTTTCTTTCAATTTCAGGCTGCTTCAACATTCTTTGCATTTCGTCAGTATCGTATGGGTGCTCAGGATGCGTTCGCAAGTGGTTATGATCCAGAACCCAACGTGTCCTCTCCCTACTCATCATTCCCTGGTAGTGATACAGGAGATCCTTATCAACAACCACCATTTAGTCAACAGAAAGAAGTTCCAGACTTTCAACCTCCTACCTATTAAATTATAGTATTAATTAATATTACTACAACATAATCAACAAAAAGCTTGATCTACTGTCGGCGATCGTAGTACGACATATACATTGGGATTATCGAAACTTTTCTGCAAGGTAGCTAAATTTGATTTAATTTTTTTTTTGTTACAAGTTTATAGGCATCGGATGAAATTTAGCCAACTGGATTTTGTCACCTTTGTTTCGTGAAAAGATTATGAAGGTCATATGTATTTGAGTGGCTATCGTTTTGAATTATGATTGCGTTAGATATAACTGTATTTGATTTACACTGGATGCTTTATAGAAATTATGAGAAGTGAAGAATAAGTAATACATGTACATGAAATAAACTGGCCAGTAAAACAAATAAATACATAAGTAAAATGCTAAAAAGTTGACAAATACAGCTATTTGAGTATAGGCTTACCTAAGTAAAATGCTAAAAAGTTGACAAGTGCAGCTATTTGAGTATAAGCTTACCTGAGTAAAATGCTAAAAAATTGACAAGTACAGCTATTTGAGTATAAGTTTACCTAAGTAAAATGCTAAAAAGTTGACAAGTACAGCTATTTGAGTATAAGTTTACCTAAGTAAAATGCTAAAAAGTTGACAAGTACAGCTATTTGAGTATAGGCTTACCTAAGTAAAATGCTAAAAAGTTGACACATACAGCTATTTGAATATAAGTTTACCTGAGTAAACGATAAAAAGTTGACAAATACAGCTATTTGAATATAAGTTTACCTGAGTAAAATGCTAAAAAGTTGACAAGTACAGGTATTTGAGTACCTGTAGTATGATAATTGTATAGCTTGAATGAGAGAATAGTTAAAACATGTGTTATTGAATGTTGAATATATATATAGCTGTGATAGTTGATGTTTTGTAGAGTCCTCACTCGGACGTTATATTCATGAAAACTTGCACTAAAACGATGTTTTGTAGAGTCCTCACTTGGACGTTATATTCATGAAAACTTGCACTAAAACAGACTTTTTAGACGAGAAACTGGTCGCTAACCGCTACTCATCTTGTTGTTCTTCGGGTGACATTCTTCGAAAAGGCCTTTAAGGCTCTGTTAATTCAAGTCTGATCGACATGAAAATTGGCATGCTTGTTCTTTGAACAATTCTGCATCAATTGGATGAAATAGATTTTTGAATTTTATCTAACCACATGGTCAGTTTCTGATTCATAGTTCGATCATTCTTGTTATATAAACTACACTAAAAATTTTTATTTCTGCCAACATTTCGACGAAGATACCCTCGTCTTTACCAAGCAAAGAATGTCTGATTTATATAAAGTTGCTAATGTTTAATGAAAGTTACTCTCACGGTTATGAAAGTAAATTTTTCAGACAAATAAAGATTATAGTATCGGAGCTAAGATGAGTAACTCCAACCAGATCAAGCAATAGCTGTTTAGTCGTAAGTTTTCATGAATATAGCTTCCGACGTAAAAACATGATATACCACGACACTCATTTATCTTGGTTTATCGTAGTGAAAATATTTCAAAAGGACATTGTTAAAATTGTTGTTAAATTGTGAATCGGTTTTTATTTCACCCAAACCGAGTGTTACTATTGGAGAAGACTGGCATACAATACATTTTTTGTCACATTGGAATTTTTAATTTGATTAGAGAAGTTTATGTAAAATTAGACATTTCTGCACTAGTCTTCAAAAGGTAGGATGTTGTTACTGAAGGGTTGTATTGAAAGAGAATATATTTCTTTTTAACAGGAAAATATGATATATGATTAATTTATTTGTATCAGCTTCATTACATGTATCAAGCTCAAAAGATAATTGCTTATCAGTTGATGTTTTGTAGATATAGATAGAGAAAAACAAAACATTTGATCTTATCAGGGGATAGGGTGAGAATGAACTGGATGACATTTATTAAAAGAATAGCCTTGCTTATCATGGTCCTATTCTGTATATTTGTTTTATTAGATAAGTTTTTCAAACAGAATGTTGTTTTAATAAAACCATATTTCATGAATGTAAGTAAACAAGCATGCAGAACATTAATTTCTTATTGATCCATATTTTTTACTCGGCCAAGACTTCCATACTTTTATTTATTTCGTAACCAATAATGTTTGCAAATATGAACAAGGCATGAATGGATTATTTGTCATCATTTATATAATAGTTTTCATAATTCAGCTTGAGTTATCTGCCCTTAGACCACAAAAAAAATGATTTGTCAAACCCTTGCGGTTATCGTTTATATTGGCTTTAAAATAATTGTGCTTTGGGCACAACAGCTTAGAAATTATGGACACAATTTTTAACATATCAAAATTTTCAGACATTTTTTAAGCTTTGTAAATCTGCTATTCATTGTTTTAGATTGCCGATAATTTTAATAATGTATTGTCTTTAAGGCTTGATGCATCATTTGTATTTTCACTAAAATGTCTATATTCTCAATTGATTATTTAATATTTAATTAAGAAAACAAAATCAAAATACCATTGCTAATTAATCTCCTGACTTGAATTCAGTCAGATTTGAAATAGGCCGCAACTATTATATGGGCGAACAACAAAATGGCGGATGGCTTATTACATAGGGAGCACCATAGATGAATGAAATTTCAATTTAACATAACTTTGTAAATACTGGACCGATATTCAAAATCAAAATACCAATTCTAGATTATCTCTTGTTTTGGATTTAAACTAGACACATCATATGTCAGCGCCTTGTTCAATCTCATTAAAACACAGATCCAATTTCGTTTCGTTTTTACAGTTCAAAATTTCGTTTTTACTTGTCTTTACTACACTTGGATCTGGAAGCGTTGTTATTTAACTCGTGTTCTGCTTGAAATGAGGGGTCAGCCAATCAAATGGTCTGTCGTGTCGAGCGTTTGACCTTTTTTGCGCAAATGTGGGTAGTCGACATTAGCGGCAATAGAAATCAAAACAAAGCAAAAATAGATAAAAAAAAAAATACATGGCGGTCGCTAATTGGTTAATCGAAAGACTGAAGTAATCGGGTTAAATGTCGCTTGCTGGTTACCTGACGTCATAGAACGTGAACTCCCACTATAACTTGTTAGATCTACATGTAGTGTAGGCCATCGAAAGTATAAAAAACGAAACGAAATATAGATCTATATTTTAATTAGATTGCGCCTTGTTACACTCGAGCAGCATAAATCGATGAAATTTCAATTTATCATAACTTTGTAAATACGGAACGGAATTGAATCGTTTTTGGTGTGAGATTCATATTTCACCTTGTTGTAGCGTGCATAATGACGCATCGAGCCTTTAAATTGTTCAAATGTAATGCAATAAAATAACCATTCCATTACTTGTGCTTTGTGTAAATCTTGAATGATTGAGAAAAATAGAGTATCTGTTTGTATTATTTTTGTGTGATTTATCATTTAATATGTTATTTAAGAAATTGTAAAAGGGGTATAGATAAAAAAAACTCGAGAAAAACAAAAGGTTATTGTATGTTTTGTATATATTGCTTTGTTTTTGACTTTAAAGATTTTTCCTCTGATTATTAAGATGTGCATAATGATAGCTTATCAATACCCAGTTTGTTTGTGATATAATTAAAGATACATTATGTAAAATTGAAATAAACATTATTCTGAACGAAGTTATGAGTGTTTAAAATGTTAGCGCAAATTGTTTGTTAACGTAGCAACGGTACTGGAAGACCAAGACTTAATCTTGTTTGTCCATATGAAATGTCTGCCATCCGATAGTCTAGAGAGTGTATTATGGGCTTGTCATGTGAATAAATGCCTAAATAATAGTTTATATAACATTTGAACCCAAAATAAAGACCTGCAATCTAGCCGGTTTAGCTCTTTACATAATGTATCATTAATGTCAATTCCCATTCATTTAATTTACTACTTGTTTAATTGTTATTAATTTTGTATAGATTGATTCTTCTTTAAATTTGTTTTTGTTTTTCCTTAAAACTTTTATCTTAACATTTATATTAAAATGTTTATGTTTATTTTATAAGGATCTCTTTAATTTACTAAGTTTGATGAGAGATAAAGCTTTGGTTGTGTATGTTTATTATGCTTGTTTGTAAATAACTCACCTAATGAAAGAAAGAAAATACTGTACATGCTTAAATGAAATGAAATGGGTTTTAATGTCCTGCATGTGTAAATGCAGTGCTTTTTGAGCTTTGTGAAAATCAGGTAGTTTATAATGGATAGATCTATTTGTTAAGGCCAGCTCAATTTTTGTCAAGGTCGTTGAGATGTAAATAGGGTTAGGGCATGTGATTGTAAGGTTAGGGTTAGGGTTGTGATTAGCACTAGCCCTGTTAACATTTCGTGACCTATGATGAAAAATTGAGCTGCCCTTATCATTTAACGCTAACCGTATTATAATAATTCAAATTGCATTTATCATGTTATGGATAATAGCTCTTCAGCATGCCTGTAATTAAGAAAAATAAGGGAGTTGAGTAGGGATTAAGAGTGAAATATTAATCAATAATACTAGAATACTGACTACTTATCATTCCATAAAAATACTGAAAGGGGATATTTGATTCAAAGTTCCAGAATTAAATTCTCTTAATGCCAAAAATGGTGAAAGTCGAGTGAAAAGGGGGATTTTCGGGTTATAATGCATGCGCAGGCTGCATAAGAAAAAGTCTCAACCTAACCATTATAACTGAAATATATTCGTTGTGTTTAATTACATCATGATTCTACTCCCAGCACTTCTGGTGACAGGACTGAATTCTGTCAAATCGGGATTTTCTGGACCGACAATCATTTATCCCCCATATTGTACTCAAGGGAAGTAATTACTATGTAAATTCTCTAAGATTAATGGACAAAACTTGTACCTGTAGTTCAAACACTTTGGGTGGCAAATAAAACCAAAATGGCTGCCTCTAACATCTCAGGGTCATTGTTATAGATGAATCACACTACAGCACTTTGCACTAGATTAATCGTCAGTCGTAAAATTTCAACAATTTCGTCCAAACAAAAAACCTGTGGATACATCTCGACCCACCGGAACATTCGCGCTGACAGAGTTAAGGCCCATTTATACTCGGCTAAGCGAAGCCGTGAAGCGAAGTTTATGAAGCTAAGCTAGGCTAAGACAAGCAAATAAATAAAATTCAAAAGCTGCCGATTGTAGTGAGCAAAGCTAAGCGAAGCTGGTCTTGTGTTGTTTGATGGATCATGTAATCGCAACAGCAGACGTCTTGTTGCTGGTTGCTGGTTGCTGTTCAGCTGAGATGTTTTGAGCAAAGCAAAGAAGTTCAACTCCCATCGCCTCGCTCAAAAATTAATCTGCAAATCTGCTGCAATGCTAATTTCTGGCTTTGAGTCTTCACTTAGCGGAAGTATAAATCGGTCTTAAAAAAATGTTGACAACCCACCTACCCAGTTCTGTGGGTTATACGTTTGGACCCTAGTGTTAAAATTTTGCAATAGTCCATAAGTTATAGGTTAATAAATAGGTTGTATGAAGTGTATTCAATTTATAGTATATGTTTAGTAAATTGTTGTTTCTCAAACCTGTTATTTCCATAGCAGTTTATTTTACAAATTTCAAAATTCACTCAAAAATCATTGCGTGTTCCCTTTGAATTGTTATCTTTTCGGGGTGGTAATGAAATTTTAATCCCCTTTCCTTCATTTCTAGATATATTTAAATAATGAAAGAGGCATTATCACTTTTAAGAAGAAAATGTAGAGTATATTATATAGTGTTCTAGATAATTAATATATCTTAATGTTATATGTTAAAACTAGATCTATACTCATGTAGATATTCAAACCGTATCATCAATATTTCCTTCACTCTTTCTAACATGACACCAAATTTTACAATCCATTTAATCCCAGGTCAAGACCAGGATTTCCTTCAAATTCATTTAATATAAGAGTTGCTTTGAAGACCTGGTTATCCCAGACTCAAGAGCAGCAGTTCCTTTAAGTCACAATTCTAATATTGTCGTTGACGTGTCAAAAGGGTGTATCTCGGGGAAATTAGTCAAATACACTTTTTTGTATTTTTAAAATCTCCCAATTAATATGCACATTTCTGTCTAAGCTGTGTATCTCTACGCCAATTACAACTGTTCTGGGTATCATGTGTCCAAATGTTGTACCCTTTTGATTTGTGGAAATTTTGAAATGCAAAAGGTTCTATTTCTTAATCTTTAGAAATTCTTAGATACACCCTTTTGACACTTCATCTAAGATATCCTGATGACATCAAATTTGACTGAATCAAAGCACATAAAGTAATATTTAGATGATAATTAAAAATGTTCCCCGTATATTTAATTTGACTCGATCAAAGCACACTAATATGTTAATACACAATGAAAACTGATAAAGGCAATAAGAAATTTTTAGATCGTAATTGAGAATTTTCGTGTGTATTATGACGATGATACTGGTGTAATTATGTTTAGAATAAGAGTGATGTATCACTACACCTCGGGTATCGTGTAGTTGTACTGTTGGCAAATTCATTGATAAATAAATAGAAATGGGGTGTAATGTGTACTCGACACAAACTAGGTCATTTTGGGACTAACATATGGTTCAAATTCATTTTAATAATTCGCTTGCTCGTAGGGTGTTTAGCACTGGGAGGAAACCAAATGACCTGGAGAAAATCCACGAAGTTGGACAGGCGACCCTACTCCTTGTCACGTACAACCAGGGATTCGAAACCACACCAGTTGACTCAATGACAGACCTTATGATACAGTGCACACGTGCTAACCATTCAGCCATTCAACCCCCTCCTTAAATTCATTGAGAATCGTTGACGAATATTGGCTTTACGAACTGTTTACTTGTCCGATTGATGTTAAGTAATGAATAAAACAGCGTAACTACATGAAACCCGAGGTGTATGTATGTATGTGATCATATCTATTATATAAATATAGACTTGAACTCTAGCTGATTGATTATCTAGCTGTTTCTAGTTAACTTGTATAATTAACTGTTTTTAATGTTGTGGCTTCTTTATTGTGATAATATTACCAAGTAAATAAAGTTATTATAGAATATAAAAACATGTTCTAACTTAATCAATTTAAATATGGGTGTGTGTCTGTGTTGGTTGGTTGGGGGGAGGGGGGGGGGACGGACAGAGGAAAGATGGTATTTCAAAATATTTGTCAGACATTTTTACCGAAAATAAAGGGACGTACATGTAACTCTTATCGTTATACAGGTGGGTTGGGGGAGATGGAGGGAAGAGAGAGGGAGGGGGGGAGAGAGAGTTGATCATAACTTAATCATTTCAAATATTGGTGGGAAGGTGGGAGAGAGAGTTAACACAAACTAAGTCATTTTGGGACTAAAATGGTAAAATTTTATTTAGACCATACACTTGCACGTAGTGGTCTTTATTAGTGGGAGGGACCCGAAGAAAAGCCATGAGGTTGTACAAATTACAGACAACCCTACTCTTTGTCAGTTAGTAAATGCCACACTGATCCGCAGTGAATATTTGCTAGGCCGCTACAATCACTGATAAGGATGACATCGATGCGGCTTAATGAGCCAGAAATATTAACTTTTTTCCTGCGACAAATTAAATTCTAAAACATTTTTTTTATGTATTGGAAAAATAAATAAAGTCGTTTGACGTATTTGTAGGTAAAAATTATTTCCTATTTAGTGTAAATGGGTATTAAATTGACTAAAATGCAGCATTCTCTCCGAAGCAGTTATGTCTTATGTAAACAATGCACGCGCCATTCAGCCAATGATTGACGCCGCGTGCTGTGACAGCACGTGTTAAGGCAGTCATCTTTGACAGAGATATATCATTAGACTCGTAATTCTCTGTAAAACAGATTGAGTAAATGCCTCTCAAAGATTATGATCCTAAAATTGAGCTAATTTCAGAAAGTTGGATGAACCTATGGAGAACCTAATGTTCACCTTTAAACTATGATATATATATATATAATTAAACATGCATTATTATCAAAGGAGAGAAGAAAAAAATGTCAAATATGTACCCCACAGGCCAAAATATTTACTGAATGAATGAAAATGAAATAGGGTTTAACCAATCCAACAACATGCAGTGTGCTATGAGGGTAATTTGGCTGGACAGCAGTGTTACAGTCTTCTCCTGTTTCGAATTCCACGGCAATGTGTAAATGGAACCTTTTTCGTCCTCAATGAAGTAATTAAAGTGCATTTTAACATTGGGTTGTAATACACACCATGGTTCATATCATCAGTTTACTTAAACATACATTATACAAGAGCTACATGTAAATCTACCTATTTCAAGTCTTTCTTTAGGCCTGCAATGTTATCTAAATTATTAATTAGACATTAATTAATTTATCAAGACCATAATCAACTCTCGATGTCATTGATAAGCCTGCAATGTTTACTGAATTAGGATCCGATTTGCTGCTAAAATTTCATTCATGATAATCAAGACTGTTTTTTATCATCTCGATTTTAGTAATGATGATCGAATCTAGGTCCAAAATTCAATCATTAAATTATCAGTTCAGAGGGCATCAATTTGACTTAAATTTTCAGCAAATTCCCTTTACATTATCTAGTTTTTAACTATTATAGTGAGAACTGCCAGCTCTTTATCTAATCTCCCATAATGTATCTTTAACATAGAAACAACACTGATAATGTAGATTTGATATCAATGATAAAGAAACCAAATGTTGGTTGCCTGTTACAATCCGTTTTGCAATAAGATAATTTGGGGTGAGCAGAGAAAAATGAAAAATAATATTAGGTGGGCAAAGCACAGGCCTCAAACGATTGGGTGTGGGTGTAACGGGACATAGTACATCCTGTCCAACAATCTAGTTGTCCCTAAAACACTGTATTTTATATTTGTGTATAAAATAGTTAAGAGGGAGAAATGGGGTTTAATGTCCACTCAACAAAAACTAGGTCATTTCAATTTTATTTCAATAATTCGCTTGCACATAGGGATCTTTAGCAGTGGGAGGAAACTGAAGGAGGTTGGACAGATGACCCTACACCTTGTCATGTACATCCGTGGAATCTAAACCACGCCAGTTGACTCAATGATAGACCTTACGGTACAGCGTGCACATGCTAACCATTCAGCCACCCCCCCCCCCTTCAGTCTAGTTAAGACTAAGGATGTTCCGTAAAACATGCCAATTTTTATGAAATCAAATGATCTGCCCCTCTACTGACTGGGCTAATGAAGATAGACAAATGCCACACAGTGTGCCCTATCGCACTATGGCCTACTTTTGTATCGAATTCAAACTGCCAAGGGATCTTGTACATGCACGGCAATGCATACACATCCAAACAACTAGATAGCTGTTCTTGTCAGGCCCTGTGTCTAATTTTTGGACTCCCACATGTAATATAATTGTCATCATCTTGTCTGTTGTGAAAGTGATACAGGACAGATTTCTCAACATTATTTTGTAAAACTTATTGAGACTGTTCATTTGGGAATAAGGAAGAGCTCTGTTGAATTTCAAAATTCTGGATCATAAATTTCAGTGTTATCGTTCTGTTCATGTTTTTACTTTTAACGTCAGGGACAGAGTTCATACAAACTTTTAACCTCTGGGACAAAAGTTCATAGAAACTTTTAACGCCTCGGCGGAATTCATAGAAACTTTTAACGCCAGGGACAGAGTTCATGGAAACTTTTAACGCCAGGGACAGAGTTCACAGAAACTTTGAAATTTATATATTGTATTTATTTTTGATATTCTTAGAATATTTAAATCTTTTTATTTATTTACAAATATATTAACAAACTACATGTACAATATCATACATTCAACAATATTAAATAAATATACAAAAAGGCCATAAAAATACAAGTTCTGAATGATATCTTAATGTTAAAAATTTATAAAAATATGTTTTATGGTCCAAAAGAGAGAGAATGGGGTCTAGTGTCCACACAACACAAAATAGGTAATTTCAAGACTAACATGGGTTAATTCTATTTTAATAATTTGTTGGCATGTAGGGGTCTTTAGTTAGAAGTGGGAAGAAACTGGAGAACAGGTGACCTTACAATGTAAGGCTTACATCCTGGCACGTACAAGTGGGAAATCAAAAACAAGCCACTTGACTCAATAACACGTTAATCCGAAACGTGTCGAAACATCGCTCAGTAATAAGCAGTAATTGTTTCCATAGAATTGTGACCTGTATACTCAAAGGAGTAGCCGAGGTTGGACAGGCCGGTAGTTACGTGTAGCTGCTGCATCAAACGATGATCTTTAAGTAACCTGTATCATGTGATATAATTAAATGCATAAGTATCAAAAACAGTTGATGTTTGTATACTTCGATTTAGTTTTATCTATTTTGAGGGTATTCTTCTGAGATCTTTCTTTAAAAGGCTGTGTATGTGGCCTTTCGACACATTTTGAAAATCTACTGTTTTGCATCGACTGGGCTAATGTAGAAGGGCATATGCTATACAGTGTGGTATGAGAAACTGCACTTTTTGAAGATCGTTAAGGAATATTGAGAATTCAATTAAATAAACATTGACAATATTTTTATGTTTAAAAAATCTGAATCCATTGACATTATTTCATATGACTAGTAAAGCAGACAAGAAATTAGTTTAAATACTAAAAGCTAAATAGAATATTTTAACTTTAATACATTCCTGTAACAGAACAGAATTTTAATGGAAAACAATTAATGTTAAAATTTAATCATTTATAGTTTTTAACAACAAGAAGTGGTTGCAATGTACGAGATGGACAGTGAACAAACTAAAAAAGCGACTTTTCGTACAATCAGGGGCCATAATTCAGGATAGTATGGTCCGACATGCATCAATATAAACAGGAACCTAGATCTTTGTGATATGGACATACATCTTAAGTTTCAACAAAATCGGATAAAAATTGTGACCTAAAGGTCCACACGCTAAAAAACATAATTTTTCGTACAATCAGGGGCTATAATCCAGGAAGTTAGGGTCCTATTGCCAATATCAAAAGGGACTGAGATCTTTGAGAAATATACATATGTTTTACGTTTCATCAAAATCGGATAAAAATTGTGACCTCTAGAAATGCGATTTTTCGTATAATCAGGAGCCATAATCCAGGAAGTTACAGTCCGATATGCGCCAATATCTACAGGAAGCAAGATCTTCGGGTTATAACATACATTTTAAGTTTTATCAAAATCAGATAAAAATTGTGACCTTTAGTGTGTCCACAAGCTGAAAATGTGAACTGGGGGCCATAATCCATGAAGTTGCGGTCTGATATATGCCAATATCGAGATCTTTAGGATATAAACCTACATTTCAAGTTTCGTCAGAATCGGACAAAAATTGTAACCTGCAGGAAATAAGGATATGTGGAAGCACAGATACATGGCCGGACAGAGGCGACAGCATAATACGTACACATGAAAATACAAGTAACAAACATGTTTTATCGACAATTTTTGTGTAGTTCAATATTTATAAAACAATAAATAATATGATATTCTAAAACAAAATCCATAATTAATGTACATGAATTACATAAGGAGGGATGGGGCAGGAAGTGGGGACAACTCCTTTATTTTAAAAGATATCATATATTCAAATCAAAAATGATTTTTTAAAAAAATAAATATTACATTTTTGTAAATATAATGAAACTGTTAAGTTGTAAAAAAGCATTATATAAAATTCCTTCCTTGTTTTATTCTTTTATTTAATATATATTTCTGCCCACTACGTTGCAGCGAACCATGAGAAATCTATTGTTAAGTATCTCCGTCAATCCGACAGCTATGATGTCACTGATTATATTAACGTTAATAATACATGAATGGAAATGTAAATATGATTGACTAGTTTTGTTTCAGATGTAAAAATAATGATCCTTTTCAGTGACGGATATTTGAAATGTGATGGAGTGTCTGCTATCATTTCGATTCATTTATCAAAGATTAAGAGGTTGGGTATTGCTAATGAAAGAATTAATCTATATTTCGTTTCGTTTTTTATACTTTCGATGGCCTCTACTGCATGAAGTTCTGACCGGTTGTAGTGGGAGGTTGCATCAGGTGTCATACGAGCGGCTTTTGACCTTATGACGTCAGACATTGATTAATCAATCAGCACTGACGATTCTAGTGGTTCACCCAAAGTTCTGTGAACCTCACCCCAAAAAACTTGCCGTAACAGATCGTTTCATTGGCTAATCCCTCGCATCATCCAGAACGCGGGTTATATAACAACTCTTCCAGATCCTAGTGTAGTAAAGACAAGTAAAACGGAATTTTGAACTATAAAAATTGAAACAAAGTCAATGGTTTAAACACCGAAGACTGAGTTTTTTCACCAACTTCTATCCAGATACAAATTCATCTGAGGAAACCCAGCAAAAAGTCTGAGTTATTTCACCAACTTCTATCCAGATAGAAATTAATCAGAGAAAACCCAGCATAAAGTGATAATAAATTGTTGGTGACACTAAAATTTGATGAAGGTTTGATTTTAAGTCATTTCATGTTTTCAACATTTTGAATTTGTTGCCAGGTAACATAAGAGATCAACTTCCTGTTAAAAAGTCGACAGGGGAAACTGAGTATAAAATGATTATAGTTGGCTAGTGACACTAAACTTTGATTTTAAGAGTCACTTCATGATTTTAATATTTTCAAGGTTGTTGTCAGGCAACATAGAGATCATTAGGAAGTTATGATGATAATATTATTGCAGCGATCTCCAGTTTAAAACAATGCTATAATATTGATACAGCTTTTATATTATCTCTTAACACGGAGTCCATAACAACTTGAAACACGACTTGAATATTACTAGTATCCGTGGCAGTTGTAAAATGTGGATAAATAACTTTGGAGGGATTATTGTTTTGCATCATAAATAAATGTTGTACATAACGGGCTGCAGAATCGACATCATAATCAGCACCTGGAATAGACAGATTCAACATTCTTAATTCATTAGATAAGTAAAAATTTCAATAGAGGGAGAGAGAGTTTAACTTCTACTTCAAACAAACTAGGTCATTTCGGGGAGAGAAAGAGAGAGAGTGAGAGAGAGAGAGAGCTCCACTCAACACAAACTAGGTCATTTCGTGACTAACATGGTTCAATTTCAATTCATTAATTCGCTTGCGCATAGAGGTCAAAGGGGAGAGAGAGAGACCTAATTGGGGTTTAACGTCCATCCAACACAAACTAGGTCATTTTGTGACTAACATATGGTTCAATTTTATTTCCATACTTCGCTTGCGCGTAGGGTTCTTTAGCAGTGGGAGGAAACTGCAGGACTCAGAGAAAACTACTGCTTGTCACATACAAGCGGGGAATCGAAAACCAGGCCACTTGACTCAATGCTCAATGACAGACCTTATGATCTAAAGCACACACGTTAAACCATCTGGCCGCCAAATCCACCAAAAAATATCAAACATTTTGCTACCAGGTATAAAATGAAATGAAATGAAATGGGGTTTAGCGTCCTACTGTGCTAACAGGTACATCTTTATAAACAGACATATTTAAATTGTATATATTGTAATATACGATGTAGTGTCCAGTAGATGATTTTGATTTTGTTTGGTTTTGTTCTCAATAAATTGTTAAGATCACTGCTGCTTGAATCCTCAATTTAACTGAAGAGCCTGAGACAAGATAAGCTTGGGAACGCCAGCTACAAGATCAGGCAATTAACCCTTGTCGGTGCACGTGGGGTCTTCGTGGACCCCATGCATATGTTTTATATTGTTGTGTAATAACTACTGGGCACTGCTTTTTGAAATTTAGTGACTTTGTCTCCTATACATTTTTACACGTAGTGAAGAACTCGGTATTCCAAATACCAAAAATTAAATGATGAATTCAAGATATTCAATGGTTTTTGTATCAAGCGTGAATTGCCATTTTAACCTCTTTATCACATAGTACACAAAGTAGCAATTTTGTGATAATTATTAAATCTTTTCCAAATGTCACTAAAATGTTGTTGTAAAATAATTTAGTTGTTTTTCAGTTGTCACATATGAAGGCAAATAAAAACTAAACTGCTGCCTTTTAATTCAAATATACTATTCAAAAAAAGTAGGGGTTATTTGATTTTTAAGTGTTATTAAAGTCACCTAATGAAACTGACGAAGAAACAAATGACAAAATGAAATGAAGTTCACATTCATCGATTTATTCCAAATGATCGTTAGACTAAGTAAGGCACAGACTGACCATTATAAGGGTAAAATGATACCCGGGGTCAAACAGCAAAGTTACCACAGCATCACAACCAAGTCAGTAACGGGTAAATCCTCCTCTGTTTGCCAAACAAGCATTGATCCGACGTGGCATACTCCTAATGAGACGTCTAAGGTCATTTTGGTCCAGATTGTCCCATTCCTGTTGCAACGCAGCAGCAAGTTCTTGGACATTGGCAGGACGTTGTTGACGTTGCCGTAACCTCTGTCGAAGCATGTCCCAGACATGCTCGATGGGGGAGAGGTCGGGACTCAGTGCTGGCCAAGGTAATGTGGTGATGTTCTGTTGTTGGAGGTAACCTGTAACGATCCTGGCCCTGTGACATCTTGCGTTGTCATCCTGGAAGATGAAACGGCGGCCATGACGTCGTGCGAACGGCACAACATGGACTGCCAAGATGTTGTCCCGGTAGTACTGGCCTGTAACACGCCCTGCAACAACATGTAAAGCCGTTCTTCCAGCAACAGTGATGCCTCCCCACACCATAACAGAACCACCCCCAAATCGATCATGTCTGATGACGTTAACGTCTTGGAAGCGCTCGTTTCGACGAGGCCACACCCTCCTACGTCTGTCCAAAAAATCAACAGTGAACCTTGACTCATCTGAAAACATCACATTGCTCCAGCGTCGATTATCCCAGTGTTGACGATCCCTACACCAACGACGTCTTGCCTGAATGTGATGATCTCTCAAACAAGGGATCACGCGAGGACGTCGGGCGCGAAGGTGACCCCTATGCAGTCGATTCCGAATCGTCTGGCCACTCACTCTCACACCAGTGTCTGTTTGAAGACGAACGCTGATCTGATTTGCTGTGATGACACGATTTCTCAAGGCCAAGGTACGGATAAATCGATCCTGGGCTTGAGTTGTCGCCCTTGGTCGACCTGAGCGTGGTCTGTCCTGTACAGATTGTGTATCACGGTATCTGGACCATAGCCTGCTTATGACAGACTGAGAAACATTCATCGTCCGCGCCACAACCGCCTGTGTTGTGCCGATCTGTAGCATGCCAAGGGCACGTAACCTTTCATTTTGGGTAAGCCGACGCATATCAAAATTTGTTTTCTGGTCACTAAAACAATTAAACTGATGTTTCCACCCTGGAATTCAATGCCACAATGACTGTAACATTCAAAGTCAGAGTCGTGCAAATCTTGGGTTGGACCCCCATGATGATCCCAAGCATCACCTGCATTCCATGCGGTAGCTATTGGTGCGTTTGGGCATCACATGTAACTGGAAATGTTTCTTCTGTTAGGTTCTATAGTGACTTTTTTCGTAGTCATTTGCATATTTTAGTATTATGCCCCCAAAATCAAATATCCCCTACTTTTTTTGAATAGTATATATCTGTACGTAAAAACTTTGAATTATAACTGGGATCCATATGGACCCCTGATACCTGCTATGTGATTCTCATAACGTGAACCCACAAGGGTTAATCCTATCTGTGTAATTACTGAACGAACTAGGAAGGTTACGTACCTGAATAATCGGGGAAGAAATAACGTAAATGGCGACCAGAATTCCTTATTTTGTCTTGAAATAAATCCAGTTTGTTCATAAATAAAATCTGAAATCAAACCATTTGAATAATTTATTTTAACAGAAATTAGACAATTGTAGAAATATTACTTCTGTTATTAATCTACCTCTAAGTGATTCTCAACCAGATCTTCCTTAAGTGTGCTGTGTCTATAACTAGTCTCTGTCTACAGTTGTATGCCTTCTATGACTTGCCATGATATTTATTTTTGCAAATTTCAAATATTGTTCATATATATTTAGCCAGGCGTGCCACTATGTTTTCATGTGTGCCAAGGTGTGCCATTGGCAAAAAATGGTTTTTCATCCCATCCGAATGACTAAACAACTGTTCTTGGCAGTCTCTCAATTCTGTACCACTGACAAGAGAAAACCACGTCGGAAAAGTCAACACAAGGAGAAAGAAAGATCTGGTAGTTGTAAATCAGAACTTTAAGTATCTACGGTAACCAGATTTATTAAGTGAAGTGTATTAATACGAGTACAAGAGAATAGGAATAAGGTTATAGTGTTCTGGTAACTCAATAATCAGTGCCATCGTATTATCTCTATATTGATTACCACATCTCTGTCTTCATCATACATCATTATTATATTACATACCATGGCTGTATTGACAAAAAAACGGTTATTGCAAATTCCACGGAACAATTTCAGGCTTTCAACCAATCGATTCTATAAACAAAAAAAATCAATATTATTACGACTGACCCTACTTGAACTAGGAAAATGTGGTTAATTTGTGTGTATAAAGACTTGTTGCTTTTTATATAGTGGAGTGGAACACAGAGAGAGAGAGAGAGAAAGAGAGAGAGAGAGAGAGAGAGAGAGTTGATTAGAAATGATATCAAATATCCTCACTGAATAGGGTCATTATTTTTACATCAGAAACACAGCTAGTCAATCATATTTACATTTACATTCGGGTATTATTAACTAAATAGAATCATTGATATCATTGCTGTTGGATTGACGGAGATACTTAACAATAAATTTCTATTCAGCACAGTGGGAGAGTGAGAGATAAATGGGGTTTAAAGTCCACTCAACACAAACCAGGTCATTTCGGGACTAACATCTTGTTCATTTTTATTTCAATAATTTGCTTGCATGTAGGGGTCTTTAGCAGTGGAAGGAAACCGGAGGATCCAGATAAAACCAACGAGGTTGGACAGGCGACCCTACTCCTTGTCAGTACAACCGGGGAATCAAAGAATAGACTTAGACCACAGGAGATACCCAAGATGATATTAGCATGGATGAAGTGGTGAATGTATGAATAAATCTATGTTAATTATACCTACCACACTAGAAACTTCCAGCATGGATGAAGTGGTGAATGTATGAATAAATCTATGTTAATTATACCTACCACACTAGAATCTTCCAGCATGGATGTAGTGGTGAATGTATGAATAAATCTATGTTAATTATACCTACCACACTAGAAACTTCCAGCATGGATGAAGTGGTGAATGTATGAATAAATCTATGTTAATTATACCTACCACACTAGAAACTTCCAGCATGGATGAAGTGGTGAATGTATGAATAAATCTATGTTAATTATACCTACCACACTAGAAACTTCTAGCATGGATGAAGTGGTGAATATATGAATAAATCTATGTTAATTATACCTACCACACTAGAAACTTCTAGCATGGATGAAGTGGTGAATGTATGAATAAATCTATGTTAATTATACCTACCACACTAGAAACTTCTAGCATGGATAAAGTCTTGAATGTATGAATAAATCTATGTTAATTATACCTACCACACTAGAAACTTCTAGCATGGATGAAGTGGTGAATGTATGAATAAATCTATGTTAATTATACCTACCACACTAGAAACTTCTAGCATGGATAAAGTCTTGAATGTATGAATAAATCTATGTTAATTATACCTACCACACTAGAAACTTCTAGCATGGATGAAGTGGTGAATGTATGAATAAATCTATGTTAATTATACCTACCACACTAGAAACCTCTAGCATGGATGAAGTCTTGAATGTATGAATAAATCTATGTTAATTATACCTACCACACTAGAAACCTCTAGCATGGATGAAGTGGTGAATGTATGAATAAATCTATGTTAATTATACCTACCACACTAGAAACTTCTAGCATGGATGAAGTCTTGAATGTATGAATAAATCTATGTTAATTATACCTACCACACTAGAAACCTCTAGCATGGATGAAGTCTTGAATGTATGAATAAATCTATGTTAATTATACCTACCACACTAGAAACTTCTAGCATGGATAAAGTCTTGAATGTATGAATAAATCTATGTTAATTATACCTACCACACTAGAATCTTCTAGCATGGATGAAGTCTTGAATGTATGAATAAATCTATGTTAATTATACCTACCACACTAGAAACTTCTAGCATGGATGAAGTCTTGAATGTATGAATAAATCTATGTTAATTATACCTACCACACTAGAAACTTCTAGCATGGATGAAGTGGTGAATGTATGAATAAATCTATGTTAATTATACCTACCACACTAGAAACTTCTAGCATGGATGAAGTGGTGAATATATGAATAAATCTATGTTAATTATACCTACCACACTAGAATCTTCTAGCATGGATAAAGTCTTGAATGTATGAATAAATCTATGTTAATTATACCTACCACACTAGAAACTTCCAGCATGGATGAAGTCTTGAATGTATGAATAAATCTATGTTAATTATACCTACCACACTAGAAACTCTAGCATGGATGAAGTGGTGAATGTATGAATAAATCTATGTTAATTATACCTACCACACTAGAAACTTCTAGCATGGATGAAGTGGTGAGTGTATAAATAAATCTATGTTAATTATACCTACCACACTAGAAACTTCTAGCATGGATAAAGTCTTGAATGTATGAATAAATCTATGTTAATTATACCTACCACACTAGAATCTTCGTATAAAGTTAAATCATAACAACTTAACGCCGCAACAAATAAAATACATCGTACATCATCAAAACATTGAATCCATTTTCTTCTTTCGGATCTTTGACCCCCTACATCAAACATTCTGTTAAAACATAATTTAAAGATTTTAAAACAAGGAAAATGCATGATGTGCCTATAGATTTTAAATAATTCATTTAAATGTGTGTTAATATATATGTTTAAACATATAATAACAAAAATAACATTATTTCAAATCTCATTGCATCATTCTGAACGGCACTCTAAGAAAATGCGAAAAACCACCTACGTGATTCCAACTGAGTATTCACTGGTGTCTACTGATAAGATCATAGCTACGTTTTTCTTTATTTAGTTTGAGTCATTCTATGTGTCTATGACTAATCTCTATCTACGGTTATATATTTTTCATATATATATTTAGCCAGGTGTGCCGCTATTTTTTCATGTATTTCAAAGTGTGCCATTGGCAAAAAAGGTTGAGAACCCCTGATTTAGAGCAATAGGATCCCTTGTAAGCTACAATATTGTGAAAGATAAGTCTCTAAAAGGAATATCAGTTCAGAAATGGTTAAATATCATTCAATTCCATTAAGTATTTACAAAGATATGTAAATCGAAATTTCATCGATATATGCTGCTCTCTATGTAATAAGCCATCTGCCCTTTCGTTGTTTAGCCTGTTTTAAATCCAACTGAATCCATGCGAGATGATTATAATCTAGTGTTGTTATTTTATTATGTCTTTTTAATCAAATAATCAATCTGAGTATGTATCAGCGTGGATTAAGCGTTGAGAAATTCGATATTTTAGTGAAAATGCAAATTGATGCATCAAGCTTTTAAACTATTTGCTATATCTATATAACTAAAATCGGGAGTCACGGTGGCTAAGTGGGTAAGACGCTGACTCGCTAGCCTGGAGGTCGCAGATTCGATTCCTGCATTGGCCGAGAAAGTTCATCCAGATTTTCCGACGTGGTTTCCCCTTGTCAGTGATGCAGGACGGAGGGCCTGACATGGACAGCTGTCTAGTCATTCGGATGAGACGAAAAACCAAGGTCCCGTGTACACATTGGCGTGCACGTAAAAGATCCCTTGACAGTTGGAATTCGATATAAGCGTAGGCTGTAGTGTCGTTGTCCGGGCAAAATTTCACTCATAGCACACTGTATGACGTATGCCCGTCTTCATTAGCCCAGTTCGGAGCAAAACAGTAGGACGTTAAACCCCATTTCATTTTATTTCATTTCTATATAAATAAAATCAAAGATGTATGTATGTATGTGTGTGTGTGTATGTATGTATGTGTGTGTGTGTATGTATGTGTGTGGGTGTGTGTATGTATGTGTGTGGGTGTGTGTATGTATGTGTGTGGGTGTATGTATGTATGTGTGTGGGTGTGTGTATGTATGTTCGCCCATCACGCTTCGTTGCCACAATCCACCCCCACAGAATGTGGTATCAAACTAACCAGCATGACCTCTGGATGTTTTAGTACATTGAATATGGGTCCTGGGTGAATAACTCTTCATCGTCGCACTCCACCCCCAACCTATGTCGTATCAAATTATTCAGCATGAACCTGTGAATCTTTCAGGTAATCCAATTTGGGGCCTATGCGAATAGGGCCCTGGGCAATTTTGGACCCCGGGTCAATTGGGCCCCTGGCGAATTTGGGCCCTGGGCGAAGCCGGGTATCCTATGTGGTATCAAATCATCCAACATGACCCATGAATGTTTTAGGCCATTTTGGATCCTGGGTGAAATGGGCCCCTGTCTAATTTGGGCCTCATGCGAGTAATAAATAAATACGAACCTGATAATACCATCATTAATTTTAAAACAAGTTTCTATAACCCCTGTTGTTCTCACACGAGCTCGTAATACATCCGTACAAGATGGCTGATACTTGGCACCACAAATACGCTCCATATTTTCAAAATAACTGAAAAATAAACAAAATTCAATTACACTGAGTACACAACAAACATGGCTTTACACAAGACTCTCACTAATTAACAAAAACTTGACAATTTCTCTTTACATTGTCAAATGTCTCGACATTTTTAAACTTGACAGCACTATTTGACCTCTCATTATCACCTCCATGAAGAATAATTCAAGTGTCTTTTTATGCAATTTCAGCAAATAAATGTGCTGTTACAAAAAAAAACATCTGTTTGAGTCTTCAGATAGAGTTATGTAGTGTCTCTCTTGCATCATCAATTACTTCTTAATTTTCTTAATGACATCTTACTTCAAATAAAACATTCATATCTTGAAGTAAAAGGATGATTAATTTAAAAAGTTCATGGACTCTTTTTAAAATATTAAGTAGCTCAGTAAATAAACTGACTGAGTATCAACTTTTTAATTAAATTATAAAAAAAATAAAATCTTGAAATAAAATGATGATTCATTTTACAAATTCATGGTATCCTTTAAGAATTATTGAAATGAAATGAAATGAAATGGAGTTTAACGTCCTACTGTTCTGCTCCTAACCTGGGCTAATGAAGACGGGCGTACGCCATACAGTGTGCTATGAGGGAAATTTTGCCCGGACAGCGGCACTACGGCCTACTCTTATATCGAATTCCAACTGCCAAGGGATCTTTTACGTGCACGCCAATGTGTACACGGGACCTCGGTTTTCCGTCCCATCCGAATGACTAGACAGCTTTCCTTGTCATCCCCTCCGTCCTGCATCACTGACAAGGGAGAACCACGCCGGAAAATCTGGATGAACTTTCTCGGCCAATGCAGGGATCAAACACAAGAATTATTGAATATTTGTGTTAAACATACATTAAACGAGAGCTTAATCTGCCTATTGCAGGTCTTTCTTTAGGCCTCAAATGTTATCTAAATTATTAATTAGACCATCATTAGGCTGTGATTTTTACTGGATTTGAATACATTTTTTTAAATATAAATATTTTGAAAACAATCGATTTCAGAATATATTTTTACTTACAATCGGTATATTGCAGAATCATTTAAAGTTTGCGTACCTGGGATTTTTTTTTGCACTGGTCAACAACATCTTACCAAGATGATTGTTTCAAAAATTGCTGTCATCATTGATTGATGCAAGTAATAAAATTCCTCATACAATAGTTCAAATCTAAGCATAAATACTTCGAAAACAATTGATTTGAGAAAATATTTGTACTTACTATATAGCAGAATCATTTAGTTCAAACTCATATCCCTTGGATACGGCCAATCGTACACCTCTATCTCTCCATAATGATTTTAAGGCTTCGTGTATATTGGGTAACATTACATGATATTCTTTATCATAACAACAATTACACGCTAATATTGTCTGGGCATATTGCTATAATAAACAATAGATATATCATTGTATTAAATATTGTCTGGGCATATTGCTATAATAAACAATAGAGATACATTGTATTAAATATTGCCTGGGCATATTGCTATAATAAACCATAGAAATATATCATCGTATGTATTAGATATATATTGTATGGGCATATTGCTGTAAAAACCAATAAATAAATATAAATAGGTATATGAAAAGTTAAAGATAACCACTCTTAGGTACTAAATACACAAAAATATAAAAGCTTTTGAAAAAAGAACTACATTATTTGTCGATTATTAGCACTTTCGCTTATTTTATCAAGATCTTCAGGTCCCAGGACGTCATAGTCATTGTGGTAGATGTTGTTTATCTGAATAGCTTAATAAAATAAGCGAAAGTAATCAACAAATGATGTAGTTCTTTTTTTTTCAAATTTTTTGATATTTTTGTGTATAATATTACATATAGTCTCTGGATTATTGAATTACGTGAAACTCTGAAAGGAATACCAGTCCAAAAATGGTTAAATTCCAGTCCGTATTTATAAACATGTCATCCATGATGAATTGAAAATTTGTAATAAACAATTTTAATAGATATTTTATTTAATAAAACAGCAAAAATTTGAATATTTATTTAGCTGATTGGATTATACTGATGTTTATTCTATTAAAATTAGGGCCTCAAGGTCTTGGATTTTTTTTTTTTTTTTTTTTTATATTTACATATTATAAAGATACAATATTTAATTATGGGATCTGAAAACAAGCAAGGGCTTTAATATATAAATCCATTTCCCGTAATAAATTATTTACAGACATATAAATACATAATTATAATCACGAATTTAATACATACATTATAAATTACAAAAACAAAACATTTATTCTCACTTGATGAAAATGTACAAAATACTTAAAGATACATTATGCAAGAGCTAAATCTGCCAATTGCAGGTCTTTCTTTAGGCCTGAAATGTTTTCTAAATTATTAATTAGACATTAATTAACTTATCTTGGTCATAATCAACTCTTGATGGCATCAGATTTCTCCGATATTAAATAGATTAGAACCGTTCAGCCATATTTTGATTTAAGCTAAAAATGGAGGAGCGAGACTTCGATTCGAACAACCAGTATGGTGGTTGCAATTATTGCAAAAGTCTTGTCAAACCTTCAAAGGCTAATATCTTCGCTTGCCATAGAGTAATTTGAATGAAATTTTCAAATTATTCATTTTACATTATCTATTTTCGAACTATTATAGCAAGAATGGCTAGCTCTTTATCTAAATCTTACATAATGTATCTTTAATATATAGAGGTTCTTTCTTTATGAATTTGTAAATAAATTCTTGCTAATTCTCCATATTTGTTGATATTTTACTTGCCTTATTTTTGGAGTTTTCAAGATTAATTCTCATCATGCCCATTCCTGTCAAAACAAACTTCATGGAACTCACCAGATTATCTAGAACTGCCGTCTGAAACATTAACATCAACAATTTATAGTATAGAATTTTTTTATCATCCTATCTGAAGGACTACACACTATTCTTTGCCAGGCCCTATAGCCTGCACCACTGACAAAGTTTCCAGATATACAGTAATTAAAGCTATAAAGAGGTGCAAGAAATTCTTAAAGTTACATTCTTCTGATTTAATCAGGTAAAAGTTGAACCAAGATCAGGTAAAAGTAGAACTACTCTCAAAGATCAGGTAAAAGTAGAACCACTCCCAAAGATCAGGTAAAAGTAGAACCACTCTCAAAGATCAGGTAAAAGTTGAAACACTCCTAAAGTTTTACATAAGCTTACTGTGGTAACAGAACTATGTACATATTGACCTTAGGTCATTTTGATGTATTACGACTCATGTCCATCAAATAAAGTGATATCATGCTTTTAAAACCTAAACACATCCAATAAACAAACACTTCAAAATATGTAACTTAAAACTTGAACCAAATGATTTAATAATATGTCTACTTGAAGTAAAAAGTTTATAATCCTTGAGTGGTATTTAGCGATTGTGCTTGAAAACGATAAGAAAACATTTGTTGAAACCTGCGGTGCTATGATAAGAGAACACTTGTCGAAACGGACGGTGCTATGACAAGAGAACTCTTGTCGAAATGGGCGGTGCTACGATAAGAGAACACTTGTCGAAACGTCATTCTGTAATTGTAACAAACTAGTGATTGTATTCTATGTAAATGGTTACTCTTTTTTTTAAATGAACCATTGTCAAGATCTTCTTTAAAAAAAGGAAATATTCAGAATTAACTCATTTTAAATAGGAGTATTTTATCAATGTCGAACTTCTGGCTTGCTAGCCTGGAGGTCGGATGTTCGATCCCTGCATTGGCCAAGAAAGTTCATCCAGATTTTCCGGCATGTTTCCCCTTGACAGTGGTGCAGGACGGAGGGACTGACAAGGACAGCTGTATAGTCGTTTGGATGGTACAAAAAACCGAGGTCCCGTGTACACATTGGTGTGCACGTAAAAGATTCCTCGAGGCCTTGACAGTTGGAATTTGATATAAGAGTAGCCTGAGTAGGTTGTAGTGCCGCTGTCCGGGCAAAATTTCCCACATAGCACACTGTATGGCGCATGCCCGTCTTCATTAGCCCAGCTCGGAGCAAAACAGTCCGTAGGACGTTAAACCCCATTTCATTTCATCAATGAACTTCCCAAATAAATTCCTAAAATTACCTTCATTTAATCAAAGGATCAAGTTGAAATATGATGTACATGTTGCCGTTTCTTATTAGCCTAAGGCCAAACTCTTCAGGAGTGTTGATAAATAGTCACTTGAATCACATGTTTTGTTTAAAATTTTAAAAATTTGAACTAGAAACTTTTTAGCCTAGGGCCAAACTGATTTTATCTTCAGTTCTTCAAGGTCTTGACAATAGTTGAATCACATGAAAGATGTTATGTTTACAATTTTAAAACCTATAATATTTGAACTAGAAGTTTTTTAAACAGTGCAACCAAATACTTTTGGTTTTTAAATTAGTTTTTTCCTGGAGATATGTGAAATAAAATTTTAACATGTGTTCCAGAAGAGCAGAAAATCAGATTGGTGTGGCCTTAGCAATGCAGAATAAAAGTCATTGTTAATTAAATTAAATGGTGATCTATACACTCACCTTAAATGAACGTAACTCGTGCTTTGAGAAACCATCATTGTGGATTATTTTCATCTGTTTAACAAGCGTGCTTTTCCCACCTTCTGCAGCCCCTGTAAGTAAACAAGCCATAGAATAAGGAAACTGTAGAGAAGAAGAAATACTCCGAACTGATCAGATGCATATTAAGATGTAAATCATCTTACTATTTAAAGGAGCTAAATTGCTAATATTTGGGACCTAGAAATTGACCCAAATGGGTCGTAAAGCATATAATAATGTAATCTGAGTGTATATAAACTGATTTACATTCAATTGTTTCCGTTTTGACTCTAATTTCAAATCAGTTATGTCCAGCGAAATACAGCATGTGTCTCAACCCTATATCAATTTCTAGCGTCTGGTTATTCAAGTCTATTCAGCAGGCTCTCCAGTTGAATATGTCTAGCCTCGTTCTTTCTGGTCACTTGTTGCAAATGACGCTAAAACGCACTATGGTACACGATTCGTGTACCAATGGTAAAATGTTTATTTTGTCTTAAATATTGGATATCAGAAGCCTGCCTTTTCCTGGTAAGATCACAACATCAATGTTGATTTGAATTGACAAATAATTCGTATTTTCAACGTGTAAGACTTTGGATGATATTGAGTTAGAGACTTAGCTACTTTAAATATACATTATACAAGAGCTAAATCTAATTATTGCAGGCCTTTCTTTAGGCCTGAAATGTTATCTAAACAATTAATTAGACTTTAATTAACTTATCCAGACCATAATCAACTTTCAATGCCATTGGGCAGGTACAATTTTAAACAGATTTGAATTGGATCTGCGATTCAATGGCTGTTGATGATTAACCGTAAAAAAAGTTAATTGAGACATTGTTTATTATTGTAACAACGGTAACAATGACAATGTTTTTTAAATTCAGTTTTCTCGACTCAGAGTGAAGTTATTTGACTGAAATTTTCAGCATATTCTCTTTACATTATCTATTTTTGAACTATAGCGAGAACTGTCAGCTCTTTATCTAATCTCCTATAATGCTCATTTAGCCATCAGTGTCACACTGATCAGCAGTGAATATTCGCTAGGCCGCGACAATCACTGATAAGGATGACATCGATGCGACTTAATGAGCCACAAATATTAACTTTTTTCCTCCGACAAATTAAATTCTAAAACATTTTTTTTTTATGTATTAGAAAAATAAATAAAAACGTTTGAAGTATTTGTAGGTAAAAATTATTTCCTATTTTAGTGTAAATGGGTATTAAAATGAGTAAAATGTGCCCTTCTCCTCAAATCAGTAACGTCTTATGTAAACAATGCACGCGCCATTGAACCAATGATTGATGCGGCGTGGTATGATGTCATGTGTTGAAGGCAGTCATCTTTTACAGAGATATTAGAAGATTTTTGTAATACTCTGTGTGAAACAGATTGCATCAGTGTATCAAACTTAAATAACACCATGATAGAATATAATCAATGAAATGAAATATTTTCAAATTTATTTCCATTTGAAACTTTGCAGAGACAAGACTGATATTTTCGCACCTTTAAAATATTTTAGTCTACACAAATAAGCCCCCTGGTCATTATGTCTCGGCAATAAGAATAAGCTCCCTAGTCATTATGTCTCGGCAACAAGAATACGCCCCTTGGGTCATTATTTCTCGGCAACAAGAATGAACATTTTTTCAAGTTTATCTGATAATCAATGAACATCAAATGCAGTCTAGATAGATTACAAATTGATGAATCATATTTTTTTAACTGTGTTATTAGCCACAAATTCAGAAATATCTTTTAATTTAACATCAGTAAATATTTATATCAGAAAAGGAAATTTGACCGTAATGAACCTCCCCAAGAATAGCGTGACATACAATGGTATAATATATTCTATTATTTATCTATACATATTTATAGTAGTACAATGTATTTATACCTACAATAATATACTATTATCTATCTTAATGGTCAGAAATAACTATTTCTAATAGTAAGGCAACACCAATTAAATTTTTAGTCCTTCTGTGTTGTTCAGTTCCTCGATTGTATGTGACAAGGAGTAGGGTCACCTGTCCAACCTCATGGTTTTTTTTCTCCGGGTCCTCCAGTTTCCTCCCACTGCTAAAGACCCCTACGCGCAATCAGATTTTTGAAAAAAAAAAATAAACCATATTTTAGTTTCGAAATGACCTAGTTTGTGTCGAGTGGAATTTAAAATTTCAAAACTGAAATATTTACAACTAAAACAATTTGAGAAAAGAAAATAAATAAGTACTTTTGGTTTTTTAAAAATTAATTTTTTTCTTGAAGAAATTGGAAACAGAATTTTTAACAGGTGTTCACAAAGAACAGAAATTCAAATGTGGTGTGGCTTGTGAATTTCAGGAACACCTATATAAAATTCTGCTTGCAATCTCATCAAGAAAAAAAACCTAATTTTAAATGAAATAAGTACTTATTTACTCTTCTCAAATATTTAAGTTTGAAATGTTAACAAAACATCAAACACAAGAATTGAGCAGGTTATTTATTGATTAAAATCTCAGGTAGTAAGTATTAAGGTATTGATGATGAGGCAGGTATTTTAGGGGTTAAACAGGTAAGATATTATAGGCTATCCCTACATATTCCCCACAGTTTGTATTGATGAAAGGGCAGGTATTGTAGGGGTCATGCAGTTATGACATTATAGACTATCCCTACATATACCACTGTTGGTATTGATGATGGGGCAGGTATTTTAGGGGTCATAAAAGTAAGACATTATAGACTATCCCTACGTATTCCCCACGGTTTGTATTGATGAAAGGGCAGGTATTGTAGGGGTCATACAGGTTTGATATTATAGACTATCCCTACATATACCACAGCTTGTATTCTTCACGCTGTTTAATCTACTCACATGTTGACCGACCTGCTATAAAAGCTAACATAAGCCATATGTAAATAGACACAACAAACTTTCTAATTCTCGAATCTCGTTGATCACATATTCAATATTTCTTCTTTCATTTGCTGAGAATTTTTGCCATTACTGGACATAAGATTCTTGAAATCCTTAACATGTACACACTGTTAAATATTTGGTTGACCATAGGCTTACCTGACTTGACCGTACAAATGGTCACTACAACAGGTCTCTTTGTTGTTCTTCAAGCAAAATATATGGCAAAAATCTTTCAAAAGCCTTGTCTTGATTTTGACTTTTCGCTAATGTATTATTGACACTTATAACTTATTATGTATTGTATTTATAATGAGGGAGACTGCGGTTGATGGGGGGGGAATGGCCGAAAGGTTAGCACATGCGCACTGTATCATAAGGTCTGTCACTGAGTCAACTGGAATGGTTTCGATTCCCCGGTTATACATGACAAGGAATGGCGTCGGCTGTCCAACCTCGTGGGTTTTCTCCAGGTCCTCCGGTGTCCTCCCACTGCTAAAGACCCCTACGTGCAAGCAAATTATTGAAATAAAATTGAACCATATGTTAGTCCCGAAATGACCAAGTTTGTGTCTAGTAGAGGTTAAACCACATCTCTCTCTCTCTCTCTCTCTCTCAGTAAAAGGAATATGTACATAGTATAAAACAATTCTATAATATTTTATCACCGTAAGTTATAGAACCTTTTATCCTATCTCGTCGTATTTATTACAAAGAATCCGAGTAGTAGTATACAGTAATTCATTTTATCAACAGAAGTAGACCTTTATAATCAAAGAATCCCTTTAGTAAAGACCCTATAATCAAAAGCCTTCAACTGTTCGCTTGACTAAACCAAATAATTGTACTCTTTCTACTCTGTAATCTTCGTACAAGTTTTACATAATAAGATAAATCTAATGAAACTTGAGAATAATAAACTTGAAATAAAACCACCAGATATAATACTACAAAATATCCTCTAATAAAATCATGATTCATTTTATTTTACATAAAAAATAACCTTTATTTACGTATAGGGTTACAAGCACGTTAAAGAAGCTAAATCACTAATATTTGGGATCTAGAAATGGACACAAATGAGTCACAATTTATATAATAATGTAATAAGAATGTACATGTATATAAACTGATTTACATTCAGTCGTTTCTGTTTTTACTCTAATTTCAAATCCGTTATGTTCGGCGAAATACGCCAGAAGTCTTAATTGAATGGCATTCTCTAGCGTTTGTTTATTCCAGTCTACACTGATAGTATTTATTGCGCATGCTCTCCAGAAAAGAATATGACGTTACCGTTTGACATTACTTGTGGAATATGTCTAGCCTTGTTCTTCGAGTCCCTTGTTACAAATGGCATTGAAACGCATTATGGTATGCGATTCGTGTACCAATGGTAAAATGTCTATTTTATCTTAATTATTGGATATCAGAAGCCCATCTTTTCCCGGTAATATCACAACATCAATGTTGATTTAAATTAACCATAATTTGTGTTTTCAATGTCGAAAAGACTTTGGATGATAATGAGTTAGAGACTTAGCTACTTAAAGTATACTTAACGTTTATTCAACAAGTTCATGAACTCTTTTAGGAACTATTGACTAGACTAAATATCAACTTTCTAAAAAATTTCACATCTTGAAATAAAATGATGATTCATCTGAAAAATTCACAGACTTCTTTTAGAATTATTAAGTAGCTCAGTAAATAAACTGACTGAGTATCAACTTTTTAATTCAATTATAAAAAAATTAAAATCTTGACATAAAATGATGATTCATTTTACAAATTCATGGTATCCTTTAAGAATTATTGAGTAGCCCAGTAAACAAACTGATTATAAAAAAACATAAATAAACATTCACATTCTTTCCGTGATAAGTACCAGAGAACCCTCGTTGAAACAAACATGTCAAGTAACTTCTATCACAACCTTCTCTTTGAGATAAAAATTCAATCAGCTTAAATAATTAAATTAAAGATTTGGACCACACCTTAAATTTGTCTTTATTAATATCTTTAATAATTTATATACCAATCTATTCAAAGCTTTTATTCAATGTCTATCTTCATCAAAGGAATGATACAAATTCTTATTTATTAATCAAACCTGTCAGATCACTCCACATATCATTAGATCTGAT